ACTGATATGTCAGTATATCATGTGATGGTTCCAAGGAACATATCAGATAGCTATCAAACATCATTTTACCCCCAATCCTTCAAAAGCACAGAACTGAAAAACGTGGGAGTGAATGCAAGGATTAATCGTGATGTGGTGCCGCACATGGTGTGGTACCAAGGTGCTGTATCAAATGGTTGTAGCGGATCCCCATTTCAACGTTTTGGCGCTTTTTTTTTTTGGGGGGTTCTTTGGGGACATTACCAACTGGATGAGAAAAGAGGCCCACACTTTTTTGCACCGTATCAATCAATATCCGGACAAAATGGAAACAGGAAAAAAAAAATTGGTCGGGAAATTACCTCTAGAGAGAATGAGAAACGTCAGTTTGTCAGGAATTTCACCCAACTCCATTCTCTTCTCTTTTTTTTCCCCCCATCAACAGTAAGGATTGAAGGTAGCTTCAGCCCTTCCAGGAAGAAACCTCCGTTTTTCTCCATCCCGGGCAGACTTTCAGCTTGAAAGAGAGCTAGACACTGTAGCAGGAATAGAAGTAGTAGCAAGGGGGGGGCTTGAACATTTCATTGTTTTCAGGGTCCTTTATCCTGCTGTCTGTCTTGCAGCGAATTGGTTCCAAAACGGCGAACTTACAGGGACTAACAACTCCATGCTATGCCATGTCATGCCACGAGTTCCGCGCCGCCGGCGCCGCCGCGATGGTGCCCTCGTGGGTTGGTGCAGTGGAGCTGCTTCTTTCCCATCAATATGTAATGCCCGGAGTTTCGAAATTCAGGGCGAGACGTAACGGAAGGGTGAATCAGGGGGAGGTTGAGTGGACCTTCTGGAAGCCTGAATGGAACAACGGAAGAGGTTCGCTCACTTTCCCACTTTCGCCCAGAATAGTAATCGGGTGGAATTGGATGGCAAAAAGTGGCCCTGTCACCGGCCGGCCCGCCGTCCCAGCTGTCTGTCTGTCATAAGGCTTGCTGCAGCCTCGATATGTAGGAATGAATGGATCATGCATGCACCGGGATGGCATCTTGTGGCTGCCACCGCGGATGCGAGCCTTCTGTTTCCGAAAGTGAAGTATGTGTGGTGTGAAGGCTGTCACCAGAGTCGTAACCGTCCGATAACGACCCATGAAGTCTACTACTGCACTGTCGAGACTGCCGACAGCAGCTCAACATCATCACCACCACCATCATCACATTACTAAGACACGATGGAACCACAAAAGAAACATCTTCTCTCGCTTCAAACACCGTCAGAACAAGGAATCGTCACTGTTTCGACGACGATAATGACAAGGATGACCTTTTTAGCCAAGACCACGCATGGAAGGCCCGCCCTGGCTTGAGCCTGGCAGCTGCAGCAATTTGGGCCATGGGATCCGAAAGACTGGTAACTTGGCTAACTTGTGCCTTGATTGGGCGAACAAACCAGATGACAGCTTTCTGAGTGCATCAGCTCAGGGACCGGAAGTGGTCCGCGGGGGGGTTCATGTACCGGGGCACGTAACTTGCGAGTGTGCTTGCGAGTGCGGAATTTGGGAGCCCTCAAACGGAAACCAGGGCGAAAGTGCCGGATGGTCCCCGGGCCCCCCCCCCTCCCCCCCTGGTATTAGTTTGCCCAGTATTTTTGGGGGGTGGTAGTGGATAATGTCCCAGGAGGGCAGCATTGAGGATTTGCAACCAACCCCCAGCGCTATCTTGTCGATCCGTGAATGGAAATCGATTTGTGTCTAGCCCAAGCGAGCATGGAAGGTTTCCCACTTGATACCGACTGTATGGCTGAGATGCTATACCATACCAGGTCTTGTTTAGGCCTGTCTCGTGCCTGTCTAGCAGCTCATGCTAAAGAGATTCAACCCCCAGGGCTCTAAACCTGGTCTTGCGTGGCCCCGTGGGTGACAAAGTAAGACTGAAGTTAAAGAAATCTCCCAAAATGGAAAACCCCCACACCACATCACTTGCCAAGCGCGATCGGAGTTGGTTTCGGGGGAAATTATCAAGAAGCTGGGGAAACAGATACCCTCTAGTGATGATGACCGTCTCTTTGGATCAGAGGGGACGGGATTGACCTTGGGATGAATGTTTCCATGCGGGCTGACAAGGTTGTGGTTTCTTGATTTAGCCTCTCGCTCTGTGTAGCGTAGTCCGGGGAAGAGGTGGGATGGTTGAAGCTGGATCGGGAACCCGGGTAAGGGCCGGGTGAGCAGCCGGATGGCAACCGGGAACTAGCCTGGAATTACGAAGACAGGATTCTCGTGACTTTGCGGCATGGAACAGGCGTATGAGGAAAGCTACCCATCCATCCGCCATCAGGGCATCACCATGTTGATACCGTGGTGAGACGGAGCTTGAAAAGCTGCATGGAACACAGTACCATAGAGTGAGGGAAGAAGGGCCCGCGGAGGACCCCCACTCCGTAAGACGGGCCTCGACGGGATCTACCGCCCCGGAACCTCTTTTTTTTTTTTTTTTTTTTTTTTTTTTTTTTTTTTTTTTTTTTTTTTTTTTTCTCTTTCTGATGCTGCTCTGGTCCTGGAGCACAAGTTGAAGGAGGCGTGCCCCTGGCTAATGGCATGGCTAGACAGAATGAGAAAGAAGAAAGGCGAATGGAGAAAGGTGATTGGATGGTTTTTTTGCAGCTCCGCAGTTTGGTGATACACTACCTGGATACTTACCTCTACTGAACTACTTACACAAAACGGAGCATGATGATGACACTGCAGGACTCAAGAGTGCTCAAACTTCAGGTGCTGTAACGGTGTATCCGCCTTCTAGTGTACGGCAACTTTGTGTTGCTGCCTGTGGCGCTCTACGCTTCCACTGCATCATCCTTTTTTACTTGAAGATGAGTGATGACTGCAACGTTGTCGACGAGGCGGTGCACGACTCCCGTCTCGATATTCCTAAGCTCCGGACATCCGATTCGTGCTGTCTCGGATGCGGGAATCGATTTGGATGTCAAATGGGACGGCGGCAACAGCGATCCGGGAGAATCCCAAAGAAGGGGGGACGGGATGATTATAATTACTCCTGTTTGTCGTGTGGTGGTGTTACGTTCAGTCGGTCGGTACCTGACAATCCTGATAGTCCTGACGGAGCTGGCGAGGGACGGAGTCATCCAGCATCTTGTCCACCCACGCCTGTCGTCATCCCACCCTACCTACACATGCGCGCTACGTCGGTTGGTAGTAGTCATCGCAGGCAGCTTCGTGAGGTTTCGCCGAGATCACCAATGGGGGCCATATTCGCGATATTGACGACGGGATAGGTCAGACTGATGACAGGCAGCATCGCGATGACTCCCTACGAGAAAAAACGATGATGATGATGACGATGATGTAACGGGGGATATGGAAGTGACTCGAATTCGCAGCAAAAGTGGTAAGCGAGTCAGGGTCGCTAGAGGTAATGTGAGGCTTACTAGAGGTATGTGCGTGCTGCCTGCCGACGACCTGCCAGCCACATCGTGCCTTGCATGGACTGTCGCTGATCTATAAGCGGATTGATCTGAAACAATTAAAGCGATCCGAGAAGACAAGCCAGCCCAGTGACAGCTGGTGGTGGGTGTGCGCGCGCGCCGAAGGGGATCCCGTGTGACGACGACAGTGGTGGTGACTTCATCGGCTCGGGCAGTTTGGTGGTTGTAGTGGGGTTGTCAAAGTTGTAATTACAGCGGGGGATGAAGCTCCATTTTCAGAATGAGGATTTGGGGGAAAATAGGACGAACCGTCAGTGTTCTGACGAATGAAAAGGATGCAAAATGCGACCTGACGGACCACATCGGGTCCTGGGGGGAAATGGATGCAAAATTGAAAGTGGAGCCCTCTCAGCTGGATTCCCCGATTTAACCCCAATTCCCATCAGGTCCCTCTCAAGCCTCACCATTCTGGGCAATCAACACGCGCCCCTCACTTATCAGCCACTAACCTCAACTGCATCATGCCACACCCAGAACCTCTCCCCTTTTGATTTCACTACATACCTACGAATGGGACCCAATGAGATGATGTGAAACCTTCGTGATGGTGCCTCCCGGGGAATTCATCTCTCAGCTCCCCCGCCTCATCAGGCCCGTCAGGCATTACCTCTGTCCAAAGAAAGAAGTGGGATCGATGAGGTGACCCAGAGATATGGTTCAGCGCGGATTACACAACGTCGGCGACGTCGGGTGCAATCACCGCCAATGATCCCTTCTTGCGACGTTTTCCATATCCCCTTTTGTCGATTCCTATTTATTCCCCGGACGACATACATACGTACGATAGGAGGCTTGTAGTTTAGTGTACATGGCCTGATGATCATGCTGACTGGCCGAACAGAAGCGGTTTAGATTGTTTCTGTCTGTCACTGTGACCAAGTTGATATTCTCTCCGTCATTGTCAGGGGTTGCAGTGAGGTATCACCCTCTTTTGGGATTATTTTTGGTGATTTTGAACCACCACTCCTCCTGCACCGCGGCCATTCCCGGTTCACACCACCCATTGCATCAATCAGCGGGCAGCTAGCTCGCCTTGCTTTCACCACCCAAAACGTCGCAAGAGGTTCCCAAATTGAGGCCCTTTTTTTTTGAGATTTGACAAGGCGCGCCCGATCCGACCCAGGACTGCGGACCTGGGCCTGCGAGAAGGGATGTTCCCGGGATCGGACTGATACGCCCAGACGCCGTATGGGGGCATCACATCTCGGACATATCTTTCTCCAGCTTCACGTCCTCGTGAACCTAGTGTAGCAACCTCCATTTCTCCACTGGATACTGTACATATTGTGGCGTATATCGTATAGCCAAGCATTGTTAATTTGGGCTTGAGAATCCTGTGAGGAGGCTTTGATGGCTTGGTTGTTGACATTGACTTGTACCCCCTTACCCGATCCTGAATCTGACCCTGGGGATTCGTAACGGAACGCAACAGCCGCCCCCCGGAGCCTCAAACCCTCGGACTTGAGAGTCTCTGATACGTACGACGGCAATGCCCGAACACATCTCTCTCCGAGTCTGGCATTGATTTTGACACTGAACGTGTAGATGGCACATCTCAGCTACTCCTTGCCCTGGCATTACACTACACTAGCCCCGCATTCAATCGACGAGCTAAATGCGCTCTAGCACGCAGTGTAAAGCCTCTTGATAGGCCCGGGGAATGGACGGAATGAACGGAACTGGGGCGGAATTCACTCATGGTGTTTTTGAATCACGAGGACATTGTCGAATGGTAGGTAACGTCTTGAGACTAGCAGCAGCAGCAGTTAGCCGGGGCAGACCAGCCAGCAGGACCTGAGACGACCAAAGACTCTGCACCATGCTCCATTTGCTCCAAGACCAGGTCGAAAAAAGTCTAGGCTGGCCTTTAGAGCATGCATTAGCGGGCTCCATAATCCTTTGGAGGTTTCGTTTGGTCTCATCCCGCTGTGTTCTTGTCTCTGTCTGTTGTCGGTTATCGGTTACGACTGATGCCATCTGACAATGATCCGATGGATGGCATGGCATGTTATTCGTGTTGGTATCGAGCCTGGTCAATTCATCGTCATTACCTTTTCTTCTTCTTTTTTTTTTCTTTCTCCATCGTCCTGGGAAGCCCTGCCCCGGGTGGCTAGGCATGGACACTAGTGTAGGTGGACAACGATAGACGACCGGGTGTTACCCGACGGGATCTCCTGCTCAAAGTCGTGGGGCTTTTTCGTGGTCGCCGAATGACAATGACACCGGGAGATCGTGGACTCCGGCTCCGGTCGCCGGTTCCAGGCCGGGTAATGGGTGATGGCTGGCTTTTCATGTCGTGGCTCAACTTGGGCATATGATCTGCGCCCTCGTTTTAACGTAGGGGTCAATCTGAGGCTTCAGTTGTTGTCACTGCTCTTACGTATCCCCCGTGGTAACCATAGAGGTTCTTGCGAGCTGGATGGACAGCTGGATCGGAGTTCTGAGTGGTGGGTGGGGGTCCACATGGTGTTGTTTCGTTCAATTCGGGGTTCGGGAATGGCTGCACCCGACTGCACTGCACTGATCGATGCAGGCACAAAGCACGGAGCACAAAAGCACAGGGCGTTTGGTGGTGTCGGTCTTACCAGGTACACTACAGAGAGGTAGTGACAGCACTGGGCAACGGTTCAAGCTCCCCTCACGCACAGACCTTTTGTTTCGAACGGGCCATCCCACGGCAATCCTCTGATCGCTGCCCGGTTGTGTTAACGTCGGGTCGGCGTTCCTGACTTTAACATTGCAGGAGTCAAATCAAGCAAGCAGGCAAACAAACAAAGGACCGGATAACTTTGTCAATCAATCAATCAATCAATCATTCAAGGTAGGTAGCGCATTTATCCGTCCACCCGTTCCGGGCCGCAGCGAACATTAAAGATCGAACGGGCCTTACCTACCGTACCTTACCTCTCTACCTTTCCACAACGTGATATGGCCTAATGACATGGGATGGAAGCTCAGGTACCGTACCGCGCCCCGTGCCTGTGGTTGAGAGGGAGATAGGTACGTAGGTCGTTACGACAGTCGACGACGACGACCGGCCCGGCTATCGGCCCGTCAGCAGCAGCACCTAGCTGGCTGACACCTACCTCTGGGGCTACCTTAGGATACCTACACTACCCCGGAATTAGCTCCGCTGATGGTGTGGTTCGCTGTAATTAATCTCCATCCTCTTTGTTCGCGCGGGTCGGGCGCAACGCTTCAATTTTAGTGAAAACGGTTCGATTTCTCATAAAACTGAATGAACAAACGAACGAACGAGCGAACGGGTCCCGGAAAGTCCGTCCGCTCGCTTGCTGCCATTCTTAAAGAAGCGAGAAATCACAGACAGCATTTTGAAATGTGTGTGTGTGTGTCTGTGTGGGTGGGTGTTCATTTTCAAAGAAAGAAAAAAAGTGATAATGAGTGATGCATGGAAGTTCCCGCGTTTTGGGCTTGACATATGCTGCCACGTATGTAACATACATAGGTGCACGCACGCACCCACGCACGCACGTCAACAAAGAAGGGGGAGAGAAAAGAAAAAAAGAAAAAAAGGGAAGAAAATAGTGATAGATGCAAGTTGCAAATGTCAATAACTGCGCGGCAGGCAGTCATGATTCAGATCCGCCACACCACACACAATGCAATAATAGGTTGGTAGGTAGGTAGATCTTATGTAGATTCGTTCGTGCGTTCGTTCGTTCGTTCGCGTGTGTGTTATTATCTTTGTATGAGACAAACAGATCGGGAACGTGCATTCTCGAGGTCGCCGTTCACACCTTCTCCTTCTCCGTCCCCGTCGCCCAAGCCTTTGCCACTGTCAACAAGGTGGATTTTCTTTTTTCTTTTCTTTCTTTCTTTTTTTTTTTCTTTTTTTTTTTTTTTTGCTTTCGTATGTCGAACGTGGGACAAGCTTATCCGGATGTGCTCAAGTGCGGCTGAAAACATTCACAGAGGGCAGAAAGTCCACGTTGAGTGTTGAGAGAGAAATCTCAAATGTTCCATTTGCTGTGGTATGATGTATAGACCAAGCTTTTCTTTCGCTAATCTATATAACTACTTTAATTATCCATCCTCCGACTGTATCTTTATACATGAGTGAGTTCCGATATAAGGGGTGCAGGGAGGGGATTAACTAAACAAAAGACGAGAGGGGGTATCTTGTATAACCTGGATCCAGCCAAGCGAACACTGACTGCCCTTTTCATGGCTGGAGATACCAAGGGAAACTGATGCCCCAAAATGTGTATCCTCCAAAATAATGCCAGATGGTGTACAGTGGTGATGTGACGATGATGATGGTGTGATGTGACATGAAAAGGAAATAGGGGCCATGATGCGCTGTGCGGGTGATGATGGCTGTCTCCGCGAGGAGATCCATCCCGATGTGGTAGTACATCCCAGAACAAGGTGGGAAAATACAAGAAAATACAGAAAGTCTAGATGCAATGAAAAGCAGTTTTTCCCAGCCACCCAAGTCTTTTTCCCAATCCAACCCAGGACAAAAGAGAAAAGAAAAACCAAAATGCTGTAATGTCGGTCGCCCATCATTCTTGGTTGGCATGCCCGTCCCTGAGCCCATGCTCAAGTGCCGTTCCCGCTGTGGTGATTCGGCGAATTATGAGATCCGATCGTGTTCCGGCTGGGTTTGGGAGGGCGTGATCAAGTCGGTGGTCGAATGTGTTCGGGAGAGAAGCTGGTAGGTTGCGCGCTGCTTCTTTCCGTCGCGATCCGCGCAAAACAGGTTTGGTGTGAAATATGACAAGTGACCACCCCAAGAGCGACTCGAGTATTGCTCCATTAAAGCCCAACAAAAAGAAAATGCAACCAAGCCCCTCTCTATGTGTAAACGCCGTGCACCAGGTGTAAAAAGCAAAACTCAGTGTGAAAAGCTAGAGTCAGCCGCCCGGAATGAACCACCCGCTTGTTGTTGTCTTGTTGTCCTCCATGTTATTAAAAGGCGTACTCCGAATTAGAATTAATCGCCCGAGAATGAGATCGCAGAGGTTGTTGACTAAAATGTGGTAGAAGTCGATAAAAGAGGGCGAGGGCGAGATTAAAACCGATTATAGTATAGTAGTCGAAAAGAGAAGTCGCAAAAACGAAGAGGTGCATGGTGCTGCTGATTCAAGATCGCCGCTATGTTTTGGTTGTTGATTGTCGTCCCAATGTTCGATTCAGGAATGAGAACATGGCCAAAATGTCGAGCGCCGTTGTTTCGCTGCATTCCGCACGGTATCTTGTCGTGACAATAATCCGCGCTGCAGTGAATCAAGGGATGAACAGGCACGCATCAGGTCCCGATGTGATCGAGGGCCCTTTACCTCCGGCTGGGCTTGGGCGGCTGTGGGGGCTTGGGGACACCGGTGGTATCGTAGGCGCCACGGCCGAAGTTGAAGACAGACTGAGACTCCCTGGTGATCATTTTGGCGGTTATGAAGGTTGTATTAAAAACGTTGCAAGAGCTGTAGCACCGTGAAGACACCTTGGTTAGCTATGTGTCCGACCCGCCATCTGGAGTGCTGCGCGTCATGACTCACAATTGAGACGCCAAAGTGTAATCGGCGAGAATTAGGATTCGATAAAGTGTCGTCAACAAGTGCGTAAGCTTTGTGTTTTTGTTGTGTTGATGATGGTTGTTGTGGTGTTGTTCGGTAAGCTTCCCGTTTCGGAAGTCTTTCGTGATATTCGAAATAGGAAAGGAACTCTTTGGAGCTGGCAGTCGTGCAGTAGTGTGGATCTGAAGTAGACAAGTAAGGCAGTATTAAACCTGTTGTTTATTCACAACACAGGAGAAGAATTAGGATCCGAAGATGGTTGAGAAGCTGTGATGGGGATTCCAAGAAAAGAGGTCTGAACGGGGAAGGGGATCTCTCGGTCTTATAACATGAGGATTACTGGAACTGGAACGAGGCAATGTCAAAATGGAAGTCAAGGGGGTGACCACCTTATTTTCCCTACCTTGTCGTTGGCATCAATTGTCTCTTGGACCACACCCCGGTTCCCAGTCCGTCCCAATCCCAAAGACAACCACCACACCAGACACGACAGGGCAGCCGGGGGACCCAGCCAAAGGAGCCCGGTCCCTTGTCTGGTGTGTGTCTGGCCTGTCTTTGCGTGCAAGCTCCGTTTTACGAGCTGGACAACGCCTGAGGTACGTGTAGCTCATCTGTACCCATGTACCTCTGTCGTTTGGGGCCAGCTTGGACGGACCCATCTCCTTTTGCCGGGAGATTTCCATTTTCAGGCCCATTTCAGGACCCAGCGGATGGCCTCGGTGGATTTCAGCGGGCCGGGGTGTTCCCTGTCCTATCCACCAGTTCTCCCACACGTCTCGAAAAACGGAGGAACGGAGCTTGCGTGGGCGCGGCAGGTTGCTGGCGTTGTCGCAGTGGTCAGAGAAGTCGCTGGTACGAGGGAGCAAGAAAACGGAATGATGAGGTGAGCAGATTGGCACACTCTGGCACTGTGCCCCCTCCAGAACGGTATCACGGTACTCGAGGCACCCTCAGCACGGACGCCCGAGAGATCCAGCGACACAGCGAGCGAGCCAGTCCTCCGGGCGAGAAGAGCCACGATGTTATTGTCGAAGGTCGACTGCCTGCCTATCCTGCCGTGGCTGCCATGCACCCGTCGCGGAATCGCCAGCCGGTGCCATGTGAGGCCAGCCAGTGTCTGTCTGGGCTGTCAAGCAAGTGTCAAACTGTCAGGGCTTGGGGCCTTCCTAAAACTGATTCGATGGCCTCAGACGTGCGTACGGAGGGTGCCATTCCAGATAGGCATTGGGCAATCAGATTGCTGCTGGCTGGCAAAGACTTGAGAGGGTTTTCTTGATTGCGTACGCAGTGCAGCGCAGGCGTGCAATGCAGCTCAGCGGTCTGACTGATGACGGTCAGTGAGCCAGCCTACGCTTTGCAGACCTTTTTTTCCTGTCTTTGAATGTTACATTTGCCATGGGATCCGGCCTTGCATCTTGTCATGTCTTGTCCTTTCTTGTGGTGGTGAGGCTGGTGCTGATGCTGTTCGTTGGGTCTCTTGAGATATTGTGGATTGGCAGGCACCTACCACAAGCGGGAACGACCGCAGAAAACAGGGGTCGTCGCACTTGGTGATTGACGTCGGCGACGGCGAGATGCCCAGACATCACAATCACCACCACCACCACCACCACAGGAAATTCCCCGTCGTGTCGTCGGAAAAGCAATGATTGATTTGAATGTATTGCGCCGCAAATAGATAAATGGGGTTTGTTCCTGCGTAATCGTGACGCAAAGGGGCGCCAGTGCCAGTTTGGAGTGTGGTCCGCTCCTTCATTCGTTGAGTGATGCGTAGGTTGCTTTTTTGTTTGTTTCGGGATGAAGGGTCCCAGGACCCGTCGTGATGTAAAACAGAAGAAAAAGTAAGAAGTGGAAGGCCAGCAAGGAGGAGGGGCAGAGGTACGGACAAGGAGAGGTTGCAGCCCGCCCGCCTACAATCACGGGCATCCGAACCCGATGCAGTGGGCGATGAACGGTGCCGTGAACGCCCACTTGTTTTCCGGATGTTTCATCCTTCCCTTCGGATTGGCCATGAGGCTGGAAAATGAAGGCCGCGAACAAACAACAAAAGTGAACACACACTTGGCAGCCGCATTTGCAAAATTATCGCTGAAATCGAGTTGGTTTGATGCCACTGCACTGCAGCCTCGTCATCACTGCGTCGAGACTGAGAGGAGGCAGGAGCACTGGGTCATTCATGGCCGTCACTAAGGTTTGCTTCCACTTCAAGTTGCCCTGCATTCGGGCCCGGGACGGAAGGGACACACGGCCGGCAACTGAAGCACATCCACCCTTCCCTTTCGCGCCTTCCGCTTCACAAACTGAACTGAATGAATGGAGGAAGGAAGCCACGATGAAGTAGTAATTTCAAACTACCTAAGGCAGCAACTGAATCAAACGAACAACTTGGTCAGGTCCGTGTTCCTTCCAGTCTTGTACCGTGGTACGAGAAATCTCTTCACATTTCAGTTCTTGGGCGGGCATCACAAGAACTGAAGTTGAGGGCTTCCATTTCCACAATGCGAGTGCAATGACACCTCACCACGCTCCCTCGCTCGATCTAGGAACCGGACCTACCATGCATCTTCAACATGTACCACTGGCCCATCATGAAATATTCACGACCCTGAAAATCGGGTTCTCCATCAAATGACGACCCTTCTCATCGTGTCAAATGGTGACGTTCGATCGGCCCTCTCCCGTCTCTTAGGTTGTCTCTCGTCTTCCATCCGTCATCCACTCTTCCGTTACAAACTTCGGCCTCTTCGGAGCCACTCCAGTCTCTCTGCATCACCACCTTATTCCCGCAGCCTACCTCCAGTCCGTGTGTGCTTGACCAGACAAGACAGGACAGGACAAAACAAGACTACCTTGGACTCTGCAGTAGGGCTGCAGCCTTTTTGGAGCCTCCTTGTTTCTCACTCCTCTTTACAGCTCCAGCTTTTCTCCGGATCGGCCTCGATGGAGAAGGAGGGGGCAGACTGGCCGGGAATACGGAGAACGATAAAGTCCATATCAGGGACGGTCCGAAACGCGAGTTGCTCCTCTGAGCGACTTCTGACAGGCCCAGCCTCCAGTTTCATCTTTTTTGCAGTCCTCTTGCCGTCTTGACGTTGGCCGGCTCCCAATCCGGATTCGATGAACACAACACCCATGAAGGATTTTCTGAGGGCTTTATCAGAATCTGCACTGGCAGTCTTTGACGCTACGATACGCCACACGCCACACCCACCACACCGCGCCCACAAGCCAAGCAGATACATATGTACAAATGGCAAACTTACAAACGCTCATGCGCAGTTCGCCGGATGACAGGAACAAAAGATCATCTCGATTTGTCCGGCCTCTCTGCGTGCCGGATCTATATGTTCTACAATGGGAACAAGACAGGACCGGCGCTGACTGATGATGGATGATATGGCTGCGCCTTGCTCTAAAATCCGACACGCTCATCCCGCCGCCACAGCCATTTTCACCACCACCGCCATTGACGACAAGACCAACTCCATTTATTCTCTTCCAAAACGGTTGTCATGATTGGAGAGAAAAAGAATTTCACCCCTGGAACCTCGACAAACTTTTTTTTCTCCTGTTTTCAATTGAGCCAACCCCGAGTCCGCGTCATCAACATGTGCAGAGAAGTGCGGCATGCCGCTGCACTTTTGACGCAGAGTTTACACACTCTCTCTCAGGGCATTGGACGGTGGCATCGTGTCTGCCATTACAGGCCACAAGGTACCCCCGAGATATGTACCCAAAAAACATGTTACGATGGCTGGGGGTTTCCGGGTGCGGTGCCCTTGGTTCCCTTCGGCTCGCACCGCACACTCAGCAGCTTCTCAGCAAGAAAAACAAAGGTCGGCATTTTTCGTCATTTTTTTTGAGGTCATCTTCTCACATTCACCCGCATTCACGAGCGGCGGACATGTTTCGTTGGTGGACATGCAAGTTGCAGTGCATCTTGCAAGTGTCGGTTTCAGACTTGCCTGGACCCGCCGTTAGTGCTAGCCCTTACCCCGTACTAACCACGAACTACCCGTAGACTACGGCCTAGCCTGGGGAGCTACTGCGGCCTAGTCTTGTCTAGCTGCTACGGGGGTGGACACTGGTACGATACGGCGGCGTTGCAGTTCGACAACATCATCACCAGTCTGCCAATTGCCTTATCTGGACATCCGAGTCCCACAGCTTGGCCCATTCCCGCCCGTTGAGTTTCTCCATGGCCGGCGGCCACATGCCCAGCCCGGAATCCGTCCCTGCCATCTCGTCGCACTTCGTCGCATCTCGGAACCAAAGGAGCGTGGGCAGCAACGCCGGGCCATTGGGGAATCCAAGAAGCTCTGCGGACGACCAGGAGCCCCCCCGGACTCTGCATACGCGGCATCCTTCCTAGGGCAGGTGAGAGACAAGGGTTGGGTGGACGCCAGACCACTTAGTATACCAGACTGGCAAGTACCGGGGATGTTGCTGGTGCGCCGGCCTTCCTCTCTTCGGTGATGGTTCGGTGCTTGTTGGGCTTCGTGGCACTGCATCAGATATCCAGCTAATAATAGGCCCACTCTGCGATAGCAAGGTGAAGCTGCTGGTCGCCCTTGGTGTTGGCTAACTCTGGTCCACGTTTTCCCCTCGTCCACACGACCACGGCATGTAGCCAGACCAGACCCTGATGACCTCTTCTGCACTTGGCTCAGATCGGTCTTCTCTCCGTCTGCATTGCCGTCCGTCCAGTGGCCACGGCCTCGCACTCTTGGACACCCGCAGTCCACTACCGTGGTGGCCTGTATGTAGATACTTAGGCCTGCCCACCTATGGACAGCATCTCCAAAGCGTCCCCATCGGCATCCAGCCTCCTCCTTCTCATTCGGCCGTAGGCGGAACGTTTGGTCAAGGCCAGCGAGTCAGCGAGTCTCTCCGGTTCCGCCCTGGATAGTCTCCAGTCCACAAAACCACCAAGCCCAGCGAGCTATCGAAATCCCATCGAAATCCATAGAGATGGATCAGAGTTGCCCGAACAGGCTACAGAGTTCTCGCTCTGGGAATAGATCATCACCACCAGAATCCACCGCAAAATGGCTCGAAAACATGAGCATCTGGCCAAGAACCAAGCTTGTTGCCGGTTGCAGCTTCGCGACCCCGGACGTGGCGGACTTTCTGCAGTCCTGGGGTCGTAACCTGAAGATAGTCAGGCTGCTATGACGCTGTCGACACCCTGTAAACGGCAGATCTGGACTTGAACCACAGCGAAAGTGCTCCAGGTCGTGGTGTGCCTGCATCGTACAACGAGAGTCGCTCCTCAGAAACGGCCGTCCGATGTTCTGATAGGCACGCCGAGCGTAGCTGCCCCGGCCCCGGATCGTGCCGTCCAATCTGCGCGAGTTTCGCTCTGCACTATGCTCCGAGTTTCGCTCGCCCCAGCCACCGCGCCTTCGTACCGTTCGTCAGAAGTCCGGAACGGTTACCCGGGTAAAAATCTCGTTCACCAGAGGCTGTCACTTGATGACTCAGCCTTGGTTTCATAGGTGGGCATGCTGTGAGCTGTCAGTCCCAAGTTGCTGCAGGCCAAAGGAAAGGTCGGCAATAGTAGTGTTCGGGGCCAAGGTGGGAGAAAACTGAACCTTCACCTACCACAGTGTGTCAGTCTTCAGAACCGAATCAAAAACATAAACAACACGCTTCTGGATTGTTTTTAATGCCTCTGCGTGGTTGAAGCATGATGCCAGCGCGGTCCGAACAGAAGGCATATGTTGAAAACATCTGTTAGTGTAAATGTGCTGGTTAACAGCAGGGCACATGAAAGCGATCTCAGGGTCGTTGGGCCACTTTGTGAGGCCACACTGTGTCCACCCAGCTGCCCGGATTGTATCCGAAGCGTTGTTGCCGGTATCATGTGGCAGCCGCTCCGTTTTCAGGATTAAGGCCAAGGGCATTCTTCACACCTCTGGAGGTATGTTGTTACAATTAACCTTCATTGGCGCGTCGATTCACACTATATCACCACCCGGACAGTCGCAGCGGGTACTACGTAGACATATTGATGAAGCTCTTCGAAACGCAGGGACACTGATGAATCCGTCTTGTTAAGCACTTGAATATGACAAGAAGCCAAGGATCGTCGCTAATCTGATCTCTTGAGCAGACTAAACATAAAGTGACGATGGTGCTAATACAGTTTCAGCATGGCAGCGATGCGGCGATCTGTGCAAACAAGGGCTGCTGGACCACACATTCAGCAGTGCTAAGCCGTCAGAGCACAAAAGAGGAATGGCCTCGATCTGCAACCAGTTCACCGTCCCCACCGTGACCAGTAATTGCTCGGTCAACATGGCAAAACGCACATTGAAACCAGCCAGTCTGCCGCTTCCAAGCGGTGCTGCCCAACAGCCGACGAGACGAGCTGGATGCAATGCGACGCAGTTACTCGCAACGTGAGAGACAACGAACCAGTCGCCGTCAAGATGGCAAAAACAAAGCCCACAGGCTCTAGCTGGCGACGCGAAGCTATCGCGACTTTATCTGCCACAAAACTTGCAGAACTGTACATACAGTAGCGCCCAGCCAACAACGCGGTCGTTGCAGGGTCCAGGGTCTTCAAGCATTTTCCCGCATGATAGGCAACAACATCCGGAGACGGTACCCCCATAAGACCTTGTTGCAGGAACAGCACGGCCTGCGTAGGAAGCGCGGTTTGCGCGTTTGTCTTCAAGAAAACAAGTCAAGAGCTGAAAGACGACCTGTTGGATGAAAACTTTGCCAGTCGTTATTCTTGCACGTCCTCATGGTTGGACGGATCAACGAAACCGCAGTAAAACTCGGATGCCGTACGACAGCGGAACATACCTAACGAGGAACACCTGCTCGGGTAGCTGACTATATCACAGCTCTCGCCTAACACCGTACCTCCTCCTCGTGACGAACTCTCGGTGCGCATGCAAATGAGTTTGTTCCGAAGACACACGCCCGTCTACCCCAGGTTTCCGAGACAGCAACCCAAGCACAAATGTAACATGGTGGACAATTGCTACGGGTCTTCGCCTTTCAGGTTAATATACCCACGCCCGACATGCCGCGTTGCGGGAGCTGACAGCCACACGACAACCCGACCGAGCAGGGTGCCCTCTCGGGGTTATCCAGTTACGTACGTATGGGATTTGCGCTGAATACGAATCATTGCCTGTCTGGAATCTGACCTGAAGCTCGCGGTGTCTCGGAAGAGGCTGGATGCCAATGGCGGACTTGATAGCACTCAGCCCTGGGTATGTATCGTGGACTCTCTTCATCTTACTTGCATTTTGGTAGCTACGTACTAGACTAATGATTACGCACAGATTCACGTCCGCTCTTGCGCAGCAGGAGATGACGGACATGCAGTAAGCCTCATGCTTGAGCAGGCAGCGGCAGTTCGCTTGCCTCCCGCGTTGGCCTCAGTACTGTAATCTACCTACGGTACCGGTACTTTGCAGACCATGAGCTACAGTATACCTTGTCAAATAGCATTGCATCTAGCCCAGGTGCTGCAGTCGAATACTTCCAGAAGTCCATGTTCCGTGGTATTGGGTTGCCTTGCCAGCACGTGGATCCAAATAATCGCCCTCCGATGACATACACTATCCTGGCTGCGCAGGTATTCCAGGAAGTTGGATAGGTGGATGGAAAAGGCCCGAGTGCTGTTTTCCACGACCACGCCGCCTCAGCTTCCTACAGCCCACCGAATGGGACTGTCCGCCCGCCAGCCTAACATGCGTCGCGGGTAACACGGGGATGATCAAGTCACTTTGGCTAGCCACAACGACGCTGCGCCAAGTGAAATAACGGAGCGACGGAGCATACGGCGCAATGCCACGGTTCCCTACGGCTACAACTTGAGACATTGGAGCGAACACAGGCAAGGCTACCAGCACTTGTCAAAGTTCAGCAAGGGTGTGGGGAACACAATTGTGTTGCCAGTTCGTCGTATCCTAAGCAATCCATTTTCTTTGTTTTTAGGCGATATGGCTATCAGACCTAGAAATAGGTGCTGTTGTGTGATGCAATACACTTTCGGGGGTTGCAAGGTCCCGGGTGTTGTGCGTCGTGGGACCTCTATGAATCCCCACGCTTTTGCCCGAGGTTCCCTCGAAGTTATCGAACATCTGGAACTGACATCATGCAGGGCCGCGCTTCAGCAACAGTTTCTAGGGCGACTTCAGAAAAGATATGCTTTGGAGGGAGGAGGACATCCTGTTTCCAGCCCCCCACTGCATCATCGTGGGCTTTGCTGTGATGCGCTACTTACTGACCATGACCATTCACGGCACTGACGGAACAACACCGTCGCTGAATGAATCCCATGGACATATGGCTTGAAGGGGGCCAAAACACGAAAGGAGTACCCCCAAGATTACTACTTACTTGACTTTGCAGCTACATCACTGCTGCATTTAGTTGCAGATACCGACGAAACGGCACAAAAACTATACCCCTCCCTCGATCTCAATGCCTATTCGCCGAGACGCCATGGGTTTTTTTCCTGCCAGAAATAGCCCCGCAAAAAGAAACCTAACCCAGAATCACACATCCGCACGTTCTCATCAACGCAACTTGCCAATTTATTGTACACTTATATTTTGAGTGTTCATCAGCATAGTTACCTTTTTCAAAGGATAGATGGGTTTGCGGTTGGGGACGAGCCGACGCAGAAACAGAAGTCTAGGCAGACAAATGCGGCGGCAAAACGATGCACAAGTGGAAAGGCGACGGCGGCACCACGGATCAGTCTTCAGGATGACATACATTCAGAAGGCCGAAGCGACAACCCGGGGAACGGATCCGGTCCACCTATCCTCAGTGTTGCATACCGTGTATGCTGAGCCTCATCATGCCTGACTACTGCGATGCTGCACCTGGAGATCCGTTTGAACCGGACAGTTTTTCTGAAGCGAAATAGAACCGGACAATACGGAGTGCCGTCGTTGTGGCAGCCTAGGTAAGTAATGTTTTGGCCCCCCTGCTGAGACTGCTGAGTTGAACGGAAAGGCTGAGAAGTTGTGAGACATTGCAAACACAGAACGGTGGCTAGTCATGTACTGTGTACTTGGTTCTGTCCCCTCTGAGACGGTCATCCGTAAACGGCTCAGATCCCACCGTCCCGCGACTTGTACCTGGCCTGGCTGAGCTCAGCCACGGGGAGAGGCCAACCAAGGTACCGATATACAACAGAAAAGGTGCCAGCCCTCCGTCATGGTTCAACCTGGGAACCCGGTCTTGGTACCTTGCAGCGGTAACTAAAAGGGAACAGGCCGTGCTACGAAACGGCAAGCTCGCATGCACACACGCACGCCCCCGGGGCACCGAGTGAGCGGAACGGAAGTGCCTTTTCTACACCTTGCAAGGGTTGTAAATGTGTTCCTGCATTAGCGTTCCCTCAACCCTCCTCGTCGTGAACATGGGTGAAGTTTGGTACCCGACAAAGCACAATGACGAGCGGATTGCCGGCCGCTCACGCTACGCAGCACACACTCCCATTTCACTCAATCAATGTCGGGCCCGGCACGCTGACTGAGCCCCGCTAGCCCAGCTGGCTGGAAGCCCTTGGAGTAGCCCTTGGATCAGGTTTTGCTTGCTCTCCTGAAACACGCACGAAGGGGGCAAATTGTAATGACGACTGCTTGATTGATTGCTACAGCGGGAAGCGTTTTGTTTTCTTGCTTGATCGTCGAAAAACTTGGCCGTCACTGTTGCCCTTTCTCATCAATCAATCACCATGCAAACTGGATCACACGTGGATGAGTCACAAACCATTATTACCCAAACACCCAACACGATGGGTTCAGGGCCGCGAGGGCTCGGGCCAGTCAACGGCTTAGTCGGTCGCTTCACTCTTCGTTTGGAGTATTCCTTTCATGCTTTTGCTTTCCCTACACAAAACGGAGGGTTTTATCAGCCCATCTACTCCGGACCCAAAACCTAGTGATCAAATTCAAGCATAAGGTGACGAGTGAAACCAACATTGAGGCGAGTCATTCGTGTTGGGTGCGCCAAGTGGCATTGGATACAGACAGACAGACATAATGTGACGAATCTCCCCGTTGGTGCTAGGGCCGCAAGGCAAATAGCGCATCGATGATCGTCACTCGGCTCCCGCGCCCCGGGCGGTTAGTTGCCAATGGGAAGTCCATCCGCCCATGACCCTGGGTGCCTGGCTCAGCTATTATGCAGTAGTGACTGCGGAGAAAAAACAACCCGAAAAAAAAAAGAAGAAAAGAAGACAGCGGCCTGATGATCTGGGCCCCCAAGTTTTCTTTTTTCGGGGATGCATTCGCCTTGAATCATGTGACTTCTGTTGGCTTCATCACGGACTTTTACTTTGATGATGATCTTGTCGTTGTTGGTCTTGTGGTGTTGGTGATGCACTATCCTGATAGGCCACTAAGTGTTTAGACCCTGACATGCCCCCTGAACATCACGTTGAATGTCAGCCCGAGCGGAAGTCCCTCGAGAAATAAGCTGTGACTTTCATGCTGTTAAGGATCACGTATAGGCCATGTGTCTTTCAGAGGCTTGATGGGTATCGATACAGCATCAGCTTTGTGTACAGACATGAAGGCCCCGAGTACACTTGCTGGCAGTCAATGTCAACTTCAACGTTGTATCCAGAAGGAAAGGTCTGCCCTGCCTCACACCTACGGATCGTACATAAGATCGGATGAATGTGAGACGACATGATCTCCGAATCTCAAGTGTTGCCATATTCTGGGGAAGAGAGACATTCATAATCTAAAAAGAGCAGCCGAGCGGACGTAACGGCAAACCCATACAACTGGATCAACCGGGAATTACTCTGTGCACAAATTGCCCTACCTATTCTAGGTTGAGCGTCGCAATTACGGGTTTGTATTCCCTCCACCAGTGAATCAAGCAGGCGATGGTGCACGACATCGGCAGGTTTTACGTCGTGTCCTCCCTCATGCGTATGTTGACCAGTCATTTTATGACCGAAGTTTGATCTTCACCACTTTGTCCAACGACAAGTGGATGGGGCTATCATCAAGAGAGAAGCTGACTGATAGTCTTCTTGAATGACTTAGGTATACGGACATAAAGAATAGAGTATCCAAGACAGCCATTCTCCAAATGAGTTGGCGCTTTGCCGAAATGGCGTGCCTTGCTTCAATCTAATCTGTTTCAGACATGCAACGACTTACAAGTGACTGAGACAAGCATAGCCGAACCGCAGCTGTCTTCATAAATAACTGACAGATGGCCAAAACGCCGCGTCACCCAACTGCTTCAAGCCCCCTCCCCTGTTATTAGCGACGGTAGAAGTAGGAACCGGCGAGACCCCCACGAACCATCAGGCATCAGACACCTCCAGCCGCCAGCCGCCAGCCGCCAGTCACGTCAGCCGTCATGTTAATACGGACTGACAGTGTGACTGACTGACACCTATTAGTTGTCTCTGTGCACCCGCACTCGCCTCACGGGAAAGGCTAACTGACATGATCATGACAGGTGGGTGTGAACTGGGATAAGGGATGGCTGAGTCAAAGCCGTTCACCTGCCTTACGTAAACAGATTGTCATGGACTCATGGTATTGGCGGACTTCCACGTCCACACCACACGACTCAAATATACCACGCACCATTCAGGTTCGATCGGGACGTTCGTTACGACCACTCCATTGACTTAGTTAGTTAAGTCAGTCAATGCCATCGGCCGGCAGTTTGAACAACTACTATATTTAATTGACATTGAGAGTAACAGAGATCGGTCCGATCAAGCCACCGACGTTTGAGTTCAACTTGCTCGAGAAACTACATATGTTTGAGTCCACGCACGACTCGCGACAGCCAACATGACGGACTTTTGAGAGTTGAAAGGCTGCCTACCTAGAACATTGCCGGCGTGGCGCACCTCAACTTGACAACGGCCGATAATGTAGTAAGTTGATGGGATGGATATGTATTTACACGGATGGTGGACGAGACATGTTGCGTGGGAAAAGGACCATACATGCAGCTGGTTGACTACCTCTATGGCTACTGTTTTCACTTTGAGATACCACACCAAACAACAGACGTTTTCAAACGGTGAACAATGCGCGTGGCAGCGCCGCTTTAACCGTTGATCGTCTAGAAAGATGAAGCATAGTATGGCATTGCATGGCGTTGCATGGCTATTGGCAATTGTGGTGGCTTGCCGGGAAGGACGAGACTTGTCAATCAGTCAACGTGAACTCAATAATTGCGGCGTTGCCGCCGCGCTTGCATGGTGAATGTCACCTAACCTGTCAACTCGATGGCAACTGGCGTTGATATTGATTGTGTTTGCTTAGTGGCCCCCAAGTGATAGAGTGTGAGATGGAAGGGGGATGGAAGCAATCCGTCAACACGCCTAATTTTCGATGTCAATCTTACCATCGATCCTCAAGATGGAACAAAACTCGATCATCAACACAAAGGTAATGATACCACTAAAGGCATGAAATAAGCTATGCTGTTTAGTCACGTCTCTAGGTAGGTAGTTATTCCCCTGTCGCGATTAGCCATGTGAAAATGACACTGATCAAAACTAACCATTGCCAGCATCTTGCAACATCAACTCCAACACCAACAACAAGACAGCATAATCAAACCCGAAAGAAGCAAGAAGGCAGGTACCATCTATATCCATGTTTCAACCGATCAAAACGTTAAACTAAGGGATCCCACCACCAACAGGGTGGTTTCACGATATACTCACATCCATCAAACACGTTGCAAACGTTTTACATATATATGTGTATATTGATTGAAACCATCCCCCAACGGGACATATGACGGAGGGGAGAGTCCATCACCAAACCTTGTGCCCACTTATCCCACCACGCATTTGGGGGCATGTCTTCATGTTCCTGGCTTGCCAGAAACGGATCAAGGGTTTGTGATAGCTCAAGGGTTTGTGATAGCTCAGCGTGGTGGGTGGCGTGGAAGTGAAAGTGGGAAGTGGATTAATGACAGTTTCTCCGGGGTCCTGCATTTGCTCCACTCCTTCTCCCGCACCGTTTCTTTTCTTCCAGAAGCCTTTTCCTATCCCCTTCGGACCCGGTCGTGACCGTCTCGGGCTACCCTTCCGGTGGATGCGACGCGATGCCCTGTCCGGTCCCCATCAGAAGGATCCTAGTTTTGACGTCAAACTGCGTCTGAGGCTGGCTTTGGCTGGCTTTACATCGGAGGTCCGGGGTCCAGTGGGTAATCGGGGGTTAGTCCGGGATCACCGAGCGGGCTTGCTTCAGGCAGTACAGGGCAAGCTTGGGGGCAAGTCCCCATAGGGTTGAAGCACCGGGGTAGAGGTTTGCCGGCGCCGGAACGGCAAGGGGATAAGGCCCGGGGAAGACAACTGGGGCGTGTTGCATGTTGCGTGAGCCTGGTGAGGCCGGGTGAGGTAATGCCGGTCCCACTTGTCGGACTTGCCAGGCAATGGGAGGGAGGCTCGGGACCGGGGCCGGAACATGGGTAAAGTCACGGCGATTTCCTTGTGAATCCCTTTAACGGTGAAAATGGTCCATTTTGTGCCAAGACTTTGGAGACTTGCTGTACTTAGCGACTTTGTTGATGCAGCCAAGCAGCGCTAGCCGGCAAATCCTGAGAGCGCATTGGTCGAGTATACCCCTGACTGCTCCATACCTGCCCTCACATTTTCTGCAGTGACAAAAGTGCTGCAAAAGCTGGTGAAAGCGAGGTAGCTGCATGGGCACAGATGTAAAGGTGGATAAAATAAGACCAGCCGATTGGCCAGATTTGGTCTTGGCACAAAATGGACCATTTTCACCGTTAAAGGGATGGACAATATGAGGAAAACAGTACCTGGTGGCCGAATCATGACCGTTTCGCATGTTGACAATAAAAGACTGGCTGGCTGATGTTGATTAGCAAGCACGTTCGGCATGTCCCGACTGCGCGTCGGTTCAGTCAGTCCCTGGTCTTCGCTTCACCAAAATCAAAACGAAATGTCGTCTTTTTGCCATGAGCTTTCCGACATTGCATGACATTGGGCTTTGGATATCTCACGACATCATGTTCGGTTCAAAATGGAACAATCGAGACCCAAACACCCAGGGCCGGCCGAGGGAGGGGTGACTGCCGCAAACTAATCCCTACGAAACCACACTAGAATAGCCCATGGCAGGGAAAAGAAGAGGAGGGTGCCAATTTGGAAACGTCCTTTTGTCCTCAAAACCTTGCAAAACGGAGCGTGGAGTGTTCCAATTTAAGCAAGGAACCCAAAAGGGGAAAGAGGCTAGAATCGCAAAGAAGCCAAAGAAGGAAAAGGAGGGTAAGAAGGAAAGTGGAAGCGCAATCGAAGCTGAGAATATGTAAGAGAAAAACCGGGGCCGGCCTTTCCTCCATCCTTGTTCATATTTGCCGGGGAACCAGGTGCCCAAACATGCCCACGGACTCAACCCCCGGTCCAATCTCGCACACGGAGGGAGCGGCGATGCCATGCCATGCCACGCCACGCCATGCTATGCTATGCTATGCTATGCTACAATGCGATTCCATGCCGGCAAACAGAAGCGACCGACAACATGACTGGTCAGTGCCCCCGGGGGAGGAAATGACAAGCGAAGAGGCACAGAACTGGCAGCGAGATTCTTTGCTTCTTTGAACCTGACCCCTTCCAGAAGTTTTCCACAGTTGTCTCTCAGTCAGTCAAGGTTCCTGGGAGACTGTTTGGGACATCTCGTCTGCTGGGACGTCCTCGTGGCCGGTGGAGTTGCGCGCCAGCACGCCTAGCGACGCTACTGCAGGTACCGACTGATTGTGTACTAGCACTGATGGGGCAGAGATGCCGGGGGGGAGGGCTATCGCTAATTCCATTTCCACCCGGATGGTCCGAAGTTCGAGCGAGCGAACACCTACCTACCTATGGTAGAGGTACCTATCTTCCGTTGGCCGAACGGTGCGAGTGGGTGGGTGAGTGTCCATGGTCAAGGTTGGTGACTGAGTAGGTAGGTCATAGAAGCAAGGTACCTCCGACAGTTTGTTGTATTCGGTCATCACCTTTTTCGAGTTGTGATACTACATGTAAAGAAGCAACATGGAAAAATCCGTGAATGGAAGGCCACTGCATCGACGGTATCAATTCCGCGCGCGGGTTGGGTGTTTGAGAGACGTGGAAATTTCCATTCAAGGTGTGACTCGTCATTTGGGGGGGGGGGGGGGCACGACAAACTGAAGGGAATTGAACCCAACGAAACAAGTTACATACGTATCTACGTACCAAGCAAAAATAGTTCTTTGGTCGTTTCATTTCCCCCAGAAGGTCAAAACGTTTTCCTAGACTAGCTACACAACAGAAAAAGAAAAAAAAAACTGGGGACCGTTTAATAACCTCAACCCCAAACATCACAACAGACCATTCATTACAACCCAATCTCCTGGATACAACGCTAAACCAAATGACACACACATCACGCCACAGAAACACTAACACAGGTAACCTTGTCGATACGGACCCTCGGACTCCTCTACACTACACTACACTAGTGTAAGGACCCGCGGACTCCATCAGCAATAGGGCGCGACGCAACAGGGCGAACGAAAACGGTCAATCCTGTCTCCAAGTTTGGAAACATGACAGCCCAATGCTGCCTATGCAGGCTGCGCTAATCAGGGGTGGAAGGAGCTGCAAGCCCAAACTACACTACACTACACTACACTACATACACTACATACACTAGCAAGTTCATTCAGTTTGAGGGCAACACACCGATCACGATCTCGATCCCTCCCTCGGCGTCACTGTGGGGCTTCCATCCATTTCCATGTCAAAGAACATCAAACAACCCCCCCAAGAACCCTTCTCGAAGCTCCAGAGAAGGACCCAATTGCCCTTGTGAAATATGACTGCGATGACGAATGGCACTCCGTTTTGCATATTGGAAGGATTAAGAAGAACCTTGGGTGAAGCATCTGTCGTCTCGACCGGTACAGGTACAGGTACAGGTACAGGCACCGGGGCTCCGGGGGTAAAGAGTAGCGTTGCATCCATCCATCCATCCATCCATCCATCCATCCCATCACTGTGGTAAAAACGGACCACGGGAATGGGGACGATTAAGCCCTACGACAGACACCACTTGCATTCTCTAGTGTAGATACAAAACTGCGCCCTTGCCTGGCTCCCTCCTTGTTTTTTTTTTTTTTTTTTTTTTTTTTTTTTTTTTTTTTTTTTTTTGGAGAGGGGAGTTGATTTATGGATCAAGCTTCCGTTTGTGCCGCTAGAGTCAGTCAACCACACGCACGTCCCAAGTAACCGTTCCGTTGGTCGTTCCGTTGTGGTCGTCGCCGGGCCGTGAACGGTTCATTCACTGCAAACAAACCTAGATACCTACGGATAGAGTTGTTGTTTCATGCACTTCTTTCCGTAGACAACAGCTTGTATGTTATGCCAGGTACCCGCCCGCCCGCCCGTCCGTGTGCAATGCACTGCACTGCACTGCATATGCAATCGTTATGCAACTCTAACGGTTCTGCATGTACCAATGAACGGGTTGACCGGTTTCTGCGTCAGTGGGCACTGGGCAGATGGATGGATGGATGGATGGGTGGATGTGCGGACCTGCAGGTGTCAATGCTGCATGAGGAAAGGATGGAATGGAATGCGGAATTGGACTTGTGTGTAGATGCGCGTCCGTGGAATGCAAAGACGGGACGAAAGGGGAATACCTGCAAAGAGGGACCACGGTAAACGTAGACAGATAGTATTACTGTATGGTGTAGTACATGTACATAGAGTAGTATGTATGAGGTATAAACGGAACATGTGCGTTGTATTCCACTTCCAATAGTCGACGACGATCTTGTCTTCTATCAACCGATCGTCTTGACCATCGGGACGTAGTCGAGGCATGATAATATTCAGGGCAACCCCAAACAAGCAGGTCGTAGGTCCTGTTCCTCCTCTGCCCTTTGCCAAGATGATGATCATTGTCTTCCCCAGAAAGTGTAAACAGAGACAGAGATGATCAAGATATCGTGGTCACTCATCACACTCAACTCATGCCCCGCAATGGTTCCCGGGCAAGCGAATGAGGTGGGTGTCAATTTAGTTATCGCTTTGGCCTTTGTTGTAACCGGCACCGCGCCTGATCTAGCTTCTATCACTTATCCCATATTCCTGTTCCTAGCTGTCTTGATGTTTGTTGGAGGTCTATGGGCGCGTGGTCCATTTCCGTCTCGCCCGTTAGGGGCGGTCTGCTGGACCGTGGTTGCTGGTGACCAGTATCACTTCAAACGGTTTGGTATTGGTATAAAAGATGGATAGACATACTTGTCCGTTTAAAAACATAAAAGAAGCATGGGAGGAAAACCCCGGAGTAAATGGAGATAGAAGGTCGTCACTGACCACTGACCATCTTTGCAATGGGCTTTATCTCCGGTCAGGCTCGAGCGAGCGAAAGAGCTGCTCCGGAGGTCAGAAAGGCCATTCAAGCTGTGACTAGTAGCTTTTGGGGATGGCCGATTGCCACCGATGAATATGATGGACGAATGTGTGATCCACGTTGGTCAGAATTAGTACTGGAAGGTTCAGCCCAAGGTATGTTGTGAAAGTACACGAATGCACGACTGAGAGGTAGTGCCTGCAAACATTGAACGAGCAAATAGTACCGTGATCCGGGGGAAGGAACACAGCGGCAGATACATGGGTTAGCGGAAAAGGGTTAGAACTTCAGTAGCATGATATGCTTCTTTGCGATCAAAGTCAATGCCTTTGCCGAGATGGATGTTCGCAGCCAAAAGCGATAGGGGTATGCAGCTGTATTGATTGGCGTGGGAAAAGGGGGATTGTTTACTTACGACGTTCTGCCTCGTCTTTGTGTTCAAGAGGTCCATCATGAGGGTTGGTCTTGAAGTTCCAGCTCTTCCCCATCCTTCCCTGATTGAAAGCATTGCACCTTCCCTTGTGTTGGCTAGAGGTCTATATCGTAAAGATGCTCTTAACAGGCGTTGAGATTCGGAATTAACGAGAAGAAGCAGCGAATCTAGTGAGCTTGAAGCTCCAAGAACACCTCTCCTCCAAGTCCTTGCTCATCGCATCTTTTCTAATCCATCCACTACATTTTAGACAATATCTTGAATGCCAGCGTCCTACCTAGTTCCGATATCCCTACTCCACCTATCGCCAACCGATCAACAATGGAACCCTCCACCTACATCTACAACCTCCCCACGATCTTCCTCCCCTATCCCGAACGCCGGTTTCTCTGGGCCACCCGCATGGCCAATCTACACCTAGCGTTCGATCTCATCCGCCGATTCAAACTCAAGACTCCGCGGTTCCTCGCATCATGGGAGGAATTCCTACTCCATGAACCTCACCCAGAGAGCAATCCCATCCTTGTCCAATACTGGCCGATGAAGGGCATCAACAACTTGCTCGTCATCATGGAGACTCTACAAAGTATTTGCGAATCACCGATCTTTGCGTTCGAAGGGTTGTCTATCCTTGAGCCGTGGGCGCTGTGGTACTTGGCTGCGGCGATGGCGCAGACCTGGACGAGGGATCCGCTTGGGTTGATTAGCGGGGTGCCGGAAGACGTGTCAACTGAGGAGCTGCAGAGGTTGACGAAGGAGCTTCATGTGGAGATTCGGAAAGGTGAGTGATATGTTTTCATGCCAAGAAACGTGGTTCGCGAGAGAGTGGCGCGCAAAGTGTGCTGTGGTGATGTGTCCATGCCATATGGGACAAGTTGGGGATATATGCTGACATTTACTTGTGTTGTCTTTTGCGGATAGTGAGCACCAAAATCTGGGTTGCCAATTTTGCCTATTATCAATATATTCTCTGTTATCGATGGCACGACGTCCAAATTGGAAATATGAAGGATAGCTACGACGGAGGCCATCAAGATGCAACTGAACATCAGGAGTATGTGGAAGACGTGGAAGACGTGGAAGACGTGGAAGACGTGGAAGACGTGGAAGACGTGGAAGACGTGGAAGACGTGGAAGACGTGGAAGACGTGGAAGACAACATGGAACACGATGCGCAAACAGGCGTGCAGGATGAAAAGGCAACGGAGGTACGAAGTGACAAGGACCACGACAGTGGCTATTGGAGTATGGAAGAGGAGACGCAGGAGTATGGCAATAACGCTAACGATGACGGTGATACCTCTAGTGACGACGAAGCGGTGTTGACCCCTTCCACAGAGTCGGACGTTGGAGAGACGGAATGTCGTCAAGAGCGTGAGTGGCCTCGAGAGCTTGAGTGGTATCGAGGATTTGGACCTTGTTCGAAGATCGACTGCCGGATCCAAGACGCCAATAAAGCCATTGGTGCTCTCCGTGGCTTCAAGCTTGACCCTCATCTACAGACTGGCTGTCGTCCGATGTAGCAGGATCCCCGAAGTTGAGGAGAAGCGAGAAAGCGAAGCGTTGATTACAGGGTTTTTGTATTTCTCCTGATGTATAGACCAAGCTATAGTCTAGCGAAGCATCTCGAGTTATTTCAAACGTTATCCGAGGAACTTTAGGCGTTATTAGGTTGATACCGCAAGGTAACGACAGACTGTATAATGAATCCTCGGACAAGATACATAGCTCAACCAAGGTGACATCACACACATCAGTCCTCCCGTCCAGGGTCGACATCAAACTCCACATCCGTCCGGATGATGTACTTGGCACCCTTCCTCACACCAGTGCCCTCATGCAACAGCGCACCATGGTTCTCGCCATGTGGGAACACCGCCACCGAGCCCATAACCGGCCTCACTGGGTGGGCATTCATGACACCGTCACGTACGCTCGGCGTAAAGAAGGTCGTCTCGCCGCCCTCAAACTCATCATTCAAGTACATGAGGAAGGTAAACAAACTCGACTGCTTCTTGTCCGCCGGCGAGGCATCGTACATGTACTTGCCCGTCGTAGGGTGAATGCCAGAGGGAGGCCAGGCGCCGTCGAAGTGGCAGCGATACTCGGCTCCGGGAACGTAGCGGTAAACCCTGAAGCGACGGTTGATGCCTCGCGCCTTTCTTCCAGCATCGTGGGTAGGGATGAAAGGCCGAACACGCTCCCAGAGAGCATCGTGGAAGGTTTGGTCAACGATCCAGTAGACGTTGTGGGCGAGGATGCTGGATTCGGAACCGTCTTCCTTGATGGGTGCGTCGGGGAGGTAGCCGACAGATTCGGTGGCAGCGATGATGGACTTGCACTCGGCGGGCGAGAGGACATCCTTTAAGATAGAAAGGGAGGGGACAATGGGGTGTTGGTGCTTGGTGATGGTCGGGGGAGTAGGTGAGAGAGGAACGGCACCTTCGTTGCTGAGATGGAGGACAGCTGGGTGGAGGTTGGGTGGTTTTCGTTGAGGGCCGGGAGTAGTTTCAATAGCCTTGAACAAGTCCTTGACATTCGGTGGGCATAGCGAGAATAATGTGCCGTCCAGAACGGACTGCCGCATGGGGAATGGTGTTGCTGATGGCTCTCGGATATCCCACATCTTCTGAAGCGCAATGGGACCAGTCCATGTTGAGGAGGACGAGTCCCCAAGCCCGGAAGCATCAATTGGCTGTCCGGTGGCTCTCAGAATGGCGTCCATGATCCTGAGCAGCTCGGGCCGACTCTGCCTGTTGGTCGTTTCGGTTTGCGAAAGGCCGCTGGTGATGTCGAGATCTCTGACCCAGCGGCACAAGGCGCCTAGCCTGGGGATGTCGCCACGGATGCGCATCTCGGCCAGTGTAACGAGGGCATCGACTAACTTGCCGTCGGCCAGGAAGCCGGAGACCTTTGAGGTAAGGTTGGCGTCGGAGCTGGAGTTGATGCCCGTGGTGCAGGCCTGTCTGAAGTCGTAGACGACGGAGCGCAGTTCCTTGCACGCCTTGGACTTGATGATGGCAGGGTTCTCGGCCAATGTGCGAAGGGTGTCGACTGTGACTTCCAACTCCTCCTCTGAGACTACTGCCGCGATGCTCTTGGGTTCGAATCGGTCGACTTCGGGTCCGGGTTCAGCTGGAGGGGAGGGCAGGGCGCCGGCGGCCGTCTTTGGTCGCTTGGCCGACGACTCGGTCGATTCGACATTCTGCTTGCGTTTGGCCGCCGCCTTTTTGGACTTTGACATGTCGGGCTTCTTCGGTGACGACTCGGGAGTAGCGTATGTGTATGGCGAGTCGCCGGTGATGTGGTCCAAAGTAGAGGGCGGCCGGCGGTGGTGTTATTGGCAGACGCAAAATCCAAATCCGGTGATGGAACGTTGACGTCCACAAATCTAGGCCCAAGTCTGACGCGGGCATGTGGGGCCCGCCTATGCTACTAAATTGTAGAGTACCCAAGCTCCACAGCTGCTGGTGCTTGCATACTGTCACAAAATGAGGCGCCGCTACAAAATACTGCAAAGCCGCTCAACAGCCCTACAGAATAATCCATTGCCCATGTTCAACCTCAACTTATACATCAACAACACCATCCTCGCCAACACTCCGCACAATTTCTCCCACTGGTCCTGTGAACTCAAACCATCTTAACATTGATTCTATTTCATCTCGTGTCTGAACAATTACGCCAACTTGCCGTCTTTACTGACTGTCTGGCACACGCACCTCGTCTCCAACATGAGGTTTCGAAGAAAGTGAACTTGGGAGGGACACTCCCTTGCCATATCGTCGGTACCCCCTCATTCATCTAGCTTTTTACATTTCCGGCTTCGGTGAATCTACAGTTTCTTGTTGTACATGAGCATTTCTCACAACATTTGGCCATCTAACGTTCAACTTGCCTTCTGCTTAACGTACTTCACTCCTTCTTGACGCAACTTATCCGATTATGTCAACAGTGGTGATTTGGCCCTGTCAAAGTGCGTTTGGGAGCGGATGACTTTACGAGGGAGAATGGAAACCTTTAAAGAAGTTGTTGTCCCGGTTCAAAATTATCTGCGAGCCACTGAGAGCTTCTGCGAGTACCTGAAAACGCAAGTTCCTAACCAAGTTGAACGGATGATGAAAGAGGCCTAGACATACAAGTTATGGGCAGGCATAAAGTACTACGGCCGGCGGGAGGCCATGGGTACAGTGAAATTTAGCGGCGAGTTGTTGATGTCAGAGACGGGTGAAAGGCGCATTCCACACCGATTTCTTACTCTAGTAGTATCTAGACTTGGGTTGGCGGCACATTCCTCTTTGACCTTCCGAGCACCCAATCAAGCATTCCCCCCTTCATTGGAATCACTTCGGCTCAGTCCCGAGATACGCAAATGTGATTCTTGTCCCTATGAAAGCTACATGTGCAAACTTTTTGTCTCAGCATAACCGTACAACGGTCTCCCTCAAGGCACCTGTTATCTGTGGCCGATCGTAATCCAAGCGGTCGTGAACTTCAAGTAGATGTGCTCGTTCATACATCGTTTCCGGTTGTCCATTCAAAAGCCTTGTCACTGGTCTCAAGATCATAACCAACACGGCGTACAGCTTCTGCCTCCCTCTACTATTCATGTTTGCTGCCAGTGTCATACCGAGAACATTGACTTCCTCTTTGCGCATGAGGTAAGTGGAGGAGGACCTGTCATCTCCGCTTTGCAGTTGGATGTCCTCGAACAGACATCGGGGAGCAAGAATTTTCTCCTTTCTCATGAACTGGGGCGATGTAATAATCCAGTATCCTCCTCCCAGTTTCGAATAGCCGGCCCCAGATTCAGTGTGCCACGCCAGCTTCATATCCATTACTGTTCCTTTGATCAACAAGTATAACGGGAATCTGCTCTCCTGATGCGATAGGTTGTGGATCTTATCGTTGTCTTTCACCCAGTCGAGCCTCTGTAGAATACCTGCTTCGTCTTCATATTCTACGTGCACCGTGGTGCAGCTGTCGAAGATTGTTCCACGGACATCGACTTGTGGAGATTGTATCTTGCAGTGCTTCCAACCCGCCCATGTCCAACTTGGAAATCCCGACCTTCGCAGATGGCTTTCCCGATCTGTTGGCATGCCCATAGATTTGAAGTCTGACGAGTTCCATTTGCAATACCACAAAAGGCTAGTTACCAATCGACACGTAAGGTTTGCATGAGTCTCGTCGGCTGCGGACTCTGCACTATCCAGGATATACTGGGACCACAGTTTTTGCATTGAAGTGGTTCTTGGCGTTCTTGAAAGATGATCGGTGATTTGATTTCCTCGCAAAAAAGGAATGACAGGTAGGCCGCAAAAGAATGAAATCCTGTCCTCTGTTCTTTTCCAAGTGTTGAAGCTCAAGTACCTCTCAAAGATGCCAGCAATGGCATCCAAAGTGTCTTGGTCAAAGGCAAGCTGCCTCTGCGCAAACTGCTCGATTCTATCCCAGGCCGTCTCGGGATTAGACCAATCGGTAATTCGCCGTGGAAAAATACAGCCAAAATCGTTTTGTCCACGTTCGAATGAGATATGATCAAAATCATCAGACTGGCCATCTTGATCTTTCCCGCCAAAAGAACTGTACCTGCCAGATAATGGTAGTGACAGAACTTCATCGCCATGCATCTCGTAGCACTGGAAGTAGGTCATTCCATCTGTGAAGACAAGCCGACGCCTCGACAATAGCGCCTCTTGGTAGGTCCAACCACGCGTATTCCACTTTGATGTGCCAAATGAAACTCTAGGCATTTCGTAAAACACCAGGGATATTCCTTCGGTCACTTGCACACTGAGCTGTTCTGTACGATGACGGGAGCTAACGCCCGGAAGTCCGTATTCTGGGCCGTCTCCTGCTGCCGCAATTATGGTCAAGACAGAACAGGAGTATATCCTGTCCATCATCCGGATCTGGATGTGTTTGAGTGGTGAATCGTTTTGGGGAATACAATATCGGTCGATCCACAGGTATCTGTATCCAAGCCTCTTGACGACCTCAATTGCATCGCTGATGACCAGGGGTAAGGCATCTGGTAATGTGAGACCATTTTCTCGCATGACTGGCCCATTGAATCCAGCCTCGCCGGCCTGACCCCAGACATAACTGAGCGTCACATATTCAACCCGGCCTGCCTCTCTACCATTGGCCAGAAGGTCAACAGCGGAAAGGATCTTGCTTGTGGTGCAGTCAATGACCTGAAATCCCGGGATCGTGACAACATCGGCATCATCACCATCACAATGAACATGCCCCGAGCGGCAAAGGCTTAACCACTCCCCAATGATGTTGTAGTTGACTTGATGGGGAATGATTATTCTCGCCCGCAACCCGCCCCCAGCCGCTCTTTCCCTGGTCAATCCTGGAAACTTTGGACCATTGACCACCGGCAGAATTGCATTGCCTGCTCTCTCAAAAGCATTGGTGTCATACCAAAATTCATAAACGCTGAGTCCAACTAGTTGTAGTGCAAAAACGTCTTGCACATGATGTTGGTAGCACTTTCCCTTTTCACACCCTCGATGCTTGATCGGGAAGCCAGCCAAGGAATGAAACCCCCATAATCTAGGTTCCTCCAAGTGATCCAGGCGAAAGACATTCCTGCCTCCTGAGGCCATGTCTTTGGATCGAAGTAGGCACTCGTCGTGGAATTTGCAAAAGCAGCACGGTGGTTCGGATGAATTGTTTGCCGACTTTGGGTGAGTCCAGCCATGCCCGAGAAGGGCATCGAATATGTCGAAGCACTTGCATGTCTGCCGTTTTTCATTGGCGGCAAGAGGACGTTCGTGACTCGTGAAAAGAGTTTTGAAGTCGATCTGGCTGCATGCTGAGCAGAGATGCGGGCGTGGGGGGTGATTGAGTCCGTTGATGGGATCCGGGTAACTCAGGCCCAAATCTGTTGGGTCCACCATATCTGGGCAGTCTTGAGATTGTGCGAGGGCTTGTATGAGATACTCTGGAGGTATTGTTGAATTACTGATGTGAATGGGCTTGTGGTGGTGTTGTTGTTGTTGTTGTTGTTGTGGTCGTGGTCGTGGTCGTGGTGATGGTTGGGCACCAACTTGCAGTCAACGTCCTGGTGCTTACGGGTGGAGGGTTCAAGAATCAGGAATTGGTTGATTCCAGAAAAAGGAAGAACAAAACTCAAAAGCCCAGAAGGACAGCTTAAATACCCCGCCAGTATACCCAGGACACCATTGCACCTTCCAAACTCCTGCTTACTTTCAGATCGAGGCTACAACAGCCGCCCAGCCAAGAATCATGATGACTGCCATGCATGTTAGGCTGTTAACTCGATTCCTAAGCTGGCGGTCATCGGAGCCTCACATGCTTGCGAGCGGAATCATCAAGATAACCTACTTACCAGAAAGGACGGAAGAGTAAACAATGATTGTGAATGTGAAACGGTCAATCCAAGATTCATGATGACTACGGGTAACACCTCTTGTGTCAGTACAAGCACATACAAGTCTTGGCTCGATGAACCGAAGGCTTCATGAGATCGTGTACTAACACATATTCAGCAGAGCCACAAGTGCCCAGCCACAGAGGACCGAAGGGTTCAGCTCGCTGCATAATACTAGTACAGTATCAAACGTACATTGTGGGCAATCGTTCTCCCGTGATTGGGTCTCGCGAGCCTTCGAATCCCAGCCTTCCAAGTGCTCGACGGCCGAGTCCGCCCATGTCTTGACGTGACACTCGTCTATGGTACCATCCCGTTCAAAGGGCATACATATACCTGTCACCAGCACAGGACAGCTCGAAGACGCCGGTGCTGTGCGGATGGCCTGGAAGGATTTGGGCACTCGATCGAAATAGAAAGCCGGACCTGACATGGACTACCCTATGGTTATCAGCCTCCTTCATCACAGTGGACGCTGCGCAATAATGGCGGCTGAGGAGTACAAGCGTGGCGTTGACTTCCAGGTGCGGCCCGACAGCGCCTGAAATTGAACACGGCCACGGACCGAAAACAGCACATATAATGGCCGGACAAGTTAATCATCGAAGATATCTTCGCTCGCTCGAAAAAAAAAAAAAAAAAAAAAAAAAAAAAAAAAAAAAAAAAAAAGAAAAGAAGAAGAAAAGAGGTCATTGAGACCAAGAAGTAATCAGATTAATTGACATTAGTTTGTCACGTATCGTAGACTGGATGTCAAACACAGGGCGCGAGATGCCCAGCTGTGTCATGGTCCTGTACAGTGCCTACGTGTATTCACCTTCGAGTTCATGGAGGGAGCGGAGTCACTTGAAAGGAACATAATTAGAAAGAAAAAAAAAAAAGAAAAGAGGACGAGTGGATTGAAGAAAAAGGATGTTAAAAAAAAAGCAAACAAGATAACCCGGGCCAATGCCATGACAACACTGACAGTACGTCTTCGTCGGTTAAGAGATTCAAAGCCCCTGCTTGCCCCTCGAACTTGGCTATTTCCAAAGCGATCACAAGTGACTGCGTGTGCAAGATATCTGTATACTAATAGGTAGATGATCAACAGACCAGCCGAAGCCTCTTATACCGGAGCCCCCCCCACTGGCCATGAAACCTTCAGAATAAATAAAATAGATGGTACCATGTCAGTCATGCTCTGATGAAGTGTATCTACCATGCAGTGCAATGGTCCTAACGAGTCATAACCAAAAGGAAGATGGAAAGAAAGAAAGAAAGAAAGAAAGAAAGAAAGAAAGAAAGAAAGAAAGAAAGAAGGAAAGAAAGAAGAAAGCAAGAAAAAAAGGAAGAAAGGAGAAAACAAGAAGAAGAAAAAAGGAAGAAGGATGTAAGCATAAACCCATCTCGCGTGCTCGACAGATTGATGAGAGTGCCTTTGCTCCTGACTAACTACAGTGCCTTATATTGGCGGCAACACGTTTCTTATCTGGTACAGTGGTGTCAGTTAGTAAGTACAGCAAAGAATAACCAAGGGGAAAGACACCTCCAGGCGAAGAAAATATCAATAGTCAAGGGATTGGGTTTGCTGACCCACCTCGAAGTCTAGATCTGGATAATCCAGTATACGTACCTACACATCATTAGTAGCACACCATCACATCATCACAACTTAAACTCAAATCCCCTTGTCAAGATCAAGTCAGCCTGAACTCGCTTTGATATTTGCGCTTCATTGCCTATGTATTGATAAAGGCTAGTGTAGTCCACAGCTAATGAGCCTATATACTAGGTCTAGTCGGTGGGTAATTTCCCACAAGCATCTTAGTATAACGCCTATATCGACAGCGGAAAAAGAAAATATTGACGAGCCGTAGAGTGAGATGAGAAGTAACCCTCAAACGCCAACGGAATAAGATAAGAAAAAGAAAACAGCATCCGTACGCTATGCAAAGAATAATAATGAAAGCAAGAAAGAAAGAAATAGCCATGACAAAGTTCCCTACAGTCGTCCCAACGACGTCTAGTCACTGGCCAGAAACGTACCCTGGACGAAATTTGAATCACCCCTCAGAAAGATTGGAGTAGGTAGCCCACCTAGGCAAGTTCCTTCTTCGGCGAAATGGATTAACCTCGTCGAACGGGTCCCGTTCAGTCCCTTCGGATTCCTCTCTGACCTCATCAGATCGTTGTCTAACACGGCTAGAGCGCTGCCTAGCATGTGGTGGAAGTCTATTGACGACGTTTTCTCTCTCGGTGTCCTCTAATACCCGCAATGGGAAATTCGCATTGACCGGCATCTGCGGAGGAGGAATATGGTTTAGAATTATGGGCTGGTTGGCCATTATCGAGCGACGAAGGAGATATGCGATCTGACGACGGTCTTCTCTGATGCGAAGATCCTCCTGGCGTAATCTTTCCATCTCCTCTAGCAGTCGGGCCGCAGCTATGTTGACCTCGGTCCTGCCACGCTGACGTGCCCTCCAACCTGCGCTTCCATCAAGAATGATAGGTTGCCGTGGTCTAGGGTTATTGGGCAAAGAATCCTGTGGCGGCCTAAGGTCCGACAATGGTATCTGAAATTGAGGAAATCTCTCCAACCCGGTGTGACGAAGCGACAAAGGTATATAGTCCAATGACTGTCTCCAGATATGTTCCCGTAAAGCATCATCGCAAATTCCTCGTAAATCAGCTCTCGTGGAGGGTATCCTCAGGATCTCTCCAATCCGAGCCTGGGGCAGCGATGGTTGCCGGTCGGGCCCTGCGGGAGATGGTGTATGAATAACAGTTTCGTTGGAGGATGCTTCCGAGCGAGTTGATGAAGCCGAAGATACAGAGAACTCGGAAGGTACGTCAACCATCGAATGCGAAGACGGGCTCGAAGACGATGTGAGACTTGGTCGCTCAGCCGTAGCGACAAGATATTCGTCTGATGCAAATATATTAGGGGGTCCGCCGCCCCTCAACGTTACGCAAAATTCCTTCGGTTGAAATGGGTTGTCGATGCCACACGGGAAACGAAACGAGACTCTCTGTCCAATAAGCGACTAGCGTTCAGCGTCAATAGGGTCGCCTTCGACAAATTCGAAATCGTTTCCGACAGCTGCGTCTGTTTCAATGTCCTCCTAGGCTCCATAGTCCGAGTTCGTAAGCTTGTCGTCGCCGTCCAGCACCCTAGTTGAAGAAAATTAGCAACTGCTCTCTTTCGCATAACAAAGCCATCACCTACGAGAACTGCTTCACCAGATAACCCTCTCCTCCCTTCTCCATATCAATGTTGTAAACATAAAAGCCACCATCACTCGTAACAACCATGACCTGCGGCGAGCTACTACTCATGGCCACCACGCTCCTAAGCGGCGTCGCGCTCAGCCCACCCGCCCTGTTGTTAGAAGACTTTGGGATCTTGATAAACGCGAAATCTCGCTCTGGCTCCCACATCTCCGCGACCGACTGCGGGAGGTACGAGCTAGCCACGCCAGCCACACCGCGGACCATCATCTGCGATGACCGCCTGAGCATGTTACCGAAGGAACCACTGGGCTCTCTTTTGTGACTACCAGAGCCGTTGTTGCCATTGCCCGCAGACGGTACTTCCCCTTTGTGTGGAGAGGGGTCGTTGACGTCAAAGCTTCGCGACCGGGCCCCCTGCGCCGGACCTCCCCCTGGCAGCGCATTCGCATTCTTTTGGGTGTTGAGCAGGCGGAAGATGTGCACGGTATCCGAAGTCGACGAAACGCACAGGAGCGTGGAGCTCAGGTTGAAGGACATGCTGTAGATCGAAGTAGGAACCGTGCCCCGGCGGAACTGGAAGAGCTTTTGGCCTTGGGGAAGCGAGAAGACGCGGATGATGGTGCCCGTCTCGGAAGCGGTGGCGAGCATGCTGCCGTCGTGGTTGAGCGCGATGGCGCATAGAGGGGACTTGTGGGCCTCGACGACGTTAACCGTCTTAAGGTTAAGGGCATCGTAGACAAGCACATCGCCGCGCTTGGGCGGGACATATTGGCTTGGTGGCGGGAGGTGTGCGGGGGCCTTGGCACCGACGTCTTCTCGCGGGTTGGGACGGGGGTAGACCAGATAGCAGGAATCGGACGAGGGAGAGAGGGCGCAAATGGCGTTGGGGTTCGGCGAGGTGTCGATGGTCTGGACCAGGTTCATATTGGACACATCGTAGAGGTAGATCTGGCATTCGAGCACCACGGCTAGGCGTTTGCGGTTCAGACGGACAGCTAGGACGGCAGAGGGAAAGGTAAGTTCGCAAATAACGGACGCTCTCTGGGTTGGTAGAATGGGTCGCCGCATTAGTCTGAGTTCGGAGGCTAAACAGTGGCGCTGGGAGGGCTGGTCTACCTTGGTGTTCTGGATCTCGAGTTGCCTAGGCGTCAGGATTAAAGCTACTAGCGAGGTAGAAAACAGCATCTCGATAATGGATACATTGCCCTCATCGCTGCTGAAGATCTTGGAAAAGGGATCAGTGTGGTAGAAGCGAAAGCCCTTGGAGGTGCCAACAGCCAGACAGCTGTAGTCCTGGTTGAAGGTGATGAAGTTGAGGGTGCCTCCCGTCATGGCGGCGGTGCTCCCTTGGGCAAGGGAGAGGATAGGCAGAGAGTATCAGGAGGTCGATAGGGCGAGGAGAGTATGATTATTGATATGTTTGATGTTGTCGAGATGCGCCAAATCCAAGTCCTGACGGGAATTCTGAGAGGTCAATACAAGGGATGGAACTGATCAGCTGTGTTGGTTAGTCTAAGCACAAAGGATGGGTGGAAATGTGCTGGTCGGCAAGGGCCAACTGAGGTCCAAGATGAGCTGTGAATAGGTGGGTCGGCAAGAGACAATGGAATTGCGTGATCGTGTCGCGAGGGAGGTAGCAACGAAGCGACGAGTCCCTTAAGAATATAAACTGAAGTGTTGTTGTACTAAACTGAAGAGAGAAAGAAGAATGGAGGTAGGTTAGGTAACTTGAAGCTCCCAAGGCGGCAATGGCAGGTGAGTGGTGTTTGCGCACTCAGTAGACGGGAAGCTCACGTTATCACTTATCACCGCGGTGAAAGCCCGCGCGGTCTCAACGGTCAAGTGATGCAACCGCAATTACCCACCCGACCAGCCGCTGATGAGCAACCAGAGTGATCGGCGCTAATAAACCTTGGCCTAATGGGTTTATTTGTTAGCTCGAGACCTCGGGTCGACCTGTGTAGGCGTTTCAGCAGTGAGTTACTGTATACTCATTTGTAGTTGAAACTCGTACGTAGTATAAGCATATCGAACTGGATATAGATATCATGTTTTGTACATAGTTGATAGATCTTTCAACAACATTGCGGCGTTCAGAATAGGTTGGACAGTATCTTCTTCGGGGTACAGAGCTAACAAGCAAACCAGCATTATATGTAGAGCTCGGACCATACGATCAGGACTCAGTGGGGCCAGCGGGGTACCATTTCTCGCACCTTGCTGGCTGCTGCAGTCTGACGTCCGCGTCTGTTCACGGTGTTATCGTCTTATCAGCCCGGGGAATACGAAGCAAAGTCAACACACACTCCCTACACCATCATGGATGAATCCTGCCTTCCCTTGAGGTTACTACCATATCAACATTATTCTTTGCCAGATATACTATAGCATAATGAACTCTCTCATCAGCTCCTCCTCCTCATTCTCCTCCCTGCTGCTGCCTCTTGCAAGTTTCGACAGCCAGATAGACAATGACCGTGAACAAGTGCAGTGCACCTCCGGTTATTATAATACTACACCTTTCGCTGACTTCGGGCCACACTATCACCTTGCTGTGTCCTTGGCTCAATGACTTGACCCGGTACTGTAGTCGCTGACTTCAATCAGTCTTTTGACCTTCGACCACCACCCCTGACACCATCTTAATCACTATCACCATCACCCACCACCCCCTTGTTACCTAACCATGATATTCCTAAACGACTCGGAAATGTCGCTCGCCGTCGGGGGTTCATATCTCTCCGGGCGAATCGACACACCCTGCGAAAGGCGTTCCTCCATCATCTTGAGCAACACAGGCGGCACCGTCTCATCCGTCGCTCTAATCGTCAACCGAACCATCTGTACACATTTCATTGTTTGTTAGCATTCCATCCCATGCGTCAAACTTGAATACTTGGAGAGTGAGAGAGAATCAAAGAAAAGAAAACTCACCTGAGTCCCATAGTTAGGCTCCAACCTCATCAAACATCCAAACTTGCCTCCTTCGCTCGTATGCACCACACTAGCCCCCACAAAGTTCTTGCTGTTGGGATCCACGTTATACAACAATCCCCATCTGAACCCTTCCAGCACCTGCCGAATGAAACTCTCCGTAATCTCCCTCTCCCCATCCTTGGGCCCAGAGAGTCCAAAGATGCGCTGAGCCTCGCGCGGCGCGCCGCCAATCTGCTTCCACCGCTTGAAGAAGTCGTCAGCCGACAACTCGGCCTGGTCCATGAACTTGTGCATGACGACGGGCAGTTTCAGGGTAAGCGCCTGCAGAGCGCCAGCCAGATACGAAATGCGGACGGTGGGCGCCTTCTCAAACACGCGCTTGGCTTCAAAGACGACGACCTGCTGCGTTTGCGCGCCCTGGTAAATGGTGGTTTCGGGCATGCTCTTGACGTCCCAAGACAAGTTGGCGCGCTCCGAAGGGTCCAGATCGAGCGTGGTGGTGAAGGAGCCGATGACTGCCGGTGTTTTATTGGTAAAGTAGAGGATGATGGCCGCCATTTGGCCGCGGTACTCGGCGCGTACACCGACTTGGATTTGTCCGTCTTCGAAGAGAATGCCGTCGGCGCGCAAGAGGAGCCGGTTGAAGCCCTTCTCCCACCCGGGAGACAAGTGAGCGGCGCTGGCGAGGTTGGGCGGCTTAATGACTTTGGCTTCGGCAGGACCAATGTTGTTCATGTCGAGACCGGCAAGGTCATTGGCAGATGAAGATCCGTTGGTGGCTCCGGCGGCCGGGGCAGCACCGCCGTTGGCTGGTCCGGTCTTGGTGCTAAAGGTCCGCCTGAGGCTGGCTTTCTTGGCCAGGCTGAGCTCTGCACTGTCCGCGTTGGCATCCTTGCCACCAACAATCCAAGTCCTCTTGTCGCTGGTGTTGGCGTGCTTCTGGTGTAGCCTCGAGAGCAGGGCGGATTCTCTTTCGGGGAATGGTGGCATTTCATCGCAAACCGTTCGAAGAAGGTCGTCTGTGGGCAAACTTGCGATGGCCAGGAACTCGCAGGCACGCTGTTGCAGTTCCGCATCGAGCGCGTGGCTATAGACGTGGAACACGTTGACGAGCTGCGGCTTAATTTCCGGGAACAAGTTGATAAACTTGATGAAGCACGAGAGGATCATGGCTCGTGTGCTGGAGGAGCATGCAGGAAGCTTGCCTTGAAGGGCCAGGAACTGCTCTATAGGACTGGAGCCCCTCTCCTCGGCAATGAGATGGCCGAACTCACCCAGGATATAGGCACCAATCTTGACAAGCGTCTCGTGGCAGTGGTCCTGCTTGCAGTATTGGAGAATATTCTGGGCTGCGTACACCTGAAGCTCCTCGTTGTTCGTAACAATCTGCGTCACTCGCTGCCAAACTTCGTCGCTGACGTGGTCGCCAGCCATGGCAATCAGGCGCAAGGAAATGTCAACATACCATTGCACGTCGGTGGCGTACTTTTCCGTAAGAATGGCAATCTTGAGCACCATTTCCTCCCGGATGGCAAAGTCGGCATTCTGTAGGTAGTGTAGCAACTCGGCCACGATCTGCTGAGCGTTCGACGTGTCGCACATGCTGTACAGAAGGTCGAGACCCTTCCTTCGAACACTGATATCCCTGTCCTTCAGAGAGCCGATAATCACATCCTGGTGCTGCTTGATCGGTTCCAGGGTGTCGGTTCGTGCTGCCAAGTGTGTCATGGCCTCGAGACCAAGATAGCGGACATTTGTCTCTCGCGACTGGATGAACCGGCCAAGTCTCTGGGATACCTGCTTCATGAGGTCATGCTCGGTATCGAGGTGGATGATGAGGTTGATAGCCTCGAACAGGACGGCGTTTTGCGCATTGTTCTGCTGAACGTTCTTCTGACTCTCCACAGCCAGGTTGAGGATCTTCTGCAGTGATTCCCGGATCATGGACCGGACATGGCTATCCTCGGATGGCGGGAAGTACTGCAGTAATCGTAGAAGCTTGACCTGGATCCATGGACAAGGCACCTTGTAGTAGAGGTAGTCCTGGCTAAACTCTCCATCGATGAGGATCCGTTTTAGCCTAGCGGCGGCTTTAACATAGGCACCCTTGTACTGCTCCGTGTTATCCTGCGCCAGCGCCATGACAAGGGATGTTACCGATAGGGCCACGCCGAGGTCGGTATCATCCATTATAGATATTATACGTTCCGCCCATTGAGCCTGGACGATATCGGGGTTTTTGCGGTATAGCCGGAGTAGCGTGAGTGCCGCCTTTTTCTTTACGAACGCCTTCGATGTTCTATAAACCGAGTTAGTATGACAATGCGCCGCTTCCTGATGTAATTGACAAAACCACGTACGGGGAAATCAGAAGCCTGTGAACCTCGGGACTCAGCGCTTCACCCATCTCCTTGCCACCGACGTTCGCAATGGCGTGCAGCGCCAGGCAGTTGAACAGTTCGTTATGGTCCATCAAGTCCTTGCGAATGCTGTTGACGACCAAGTGTAAGAGCTCGTGCTTCTCGTGGAGGAATAGCGTCATAGCGAGGTAGCCGATCTGCTTTTCCGAGTACTTGGTCGCCGAAATTAGATTAACGGCCTCTAGGTGGCCAAAGTCGACGTTCCATCCCAGAATGTAGATATAAAGCAGCTATTTACGCATTGGTTAACCGCGGTGTTCTTGCTCTTTAGGACTGGTACAAGTGGGCGCTCAGGGGGGGGTTGGCGCGGCGCATACCTTGCAAACGTATTTCTTCTTGTGATAACCGCTTAGGCTGCCGTCCTTGAACTTTTGACGGATGTTGGCCAGCTCCTTATTGATCCGCTTCTCCTCGAGTTCCCTAGCCCGAGCGTTTCTGAGATCGGCAATGAACTGGACCAAGCCGCGCATGTTGGAGTTGCTGCTGGACGAGCGGCCCAGGAAGCCGGTTCCTGTTGACGACGACATAATGGCGGTTGTGCTGAGTTGGCCCGGGGTATCTTGTTGTGATTAAGTTTTGTATTCGAGCTTCTCTGAGCCTGACTGTTCGGTCACGTATACACGGTGGTTTCGCCCAGCGGGACTCGGAGCTTGGCGGTTTCCGGAGAGCCAAATAATTCTGCTTTGCTTGTGTTTTTTGCCGACCTTTTCACACTGAGAGCATCACGAGCAACAGGATTGATCCATCGACATTCGATAATTAACAAGCTAATAACCGTGGCGGCACGGGTGGTCGTCGGAGTTTAGTATTGTGGATGAATGGGTAGAAGTTGCGGTCGGCGCGGCGGCTGACAGCATCGATCGATGTCACTTCGTTCGGTGTTGAAGTGCTGAATGGTCAACCAAAAGTGGAAGTTCGCGATGCGCTTCGTTCGGTTCGATGTTTCGTGGTGTACAGGGTACCGGACAGTCGACTGAGACAAAGACAGGAACCAGGGTCGCGGAGACAATGAAGGGCTGGCAGAAACACACACTTGTCGGGTTCAGTTCGCGACGTGTGCTGTGTCGAGTTGGGGAAGGTCGGCGTGGTCGGCGGCTCCGGACTGGTTGTTCGTTGACGAGGATTCTCAGGGGAGGGGACTGGCGGACGGCGACGGGCGGATTGGCGATTTCCTCCACTGCAAAATAAAGGGGATCTCCGGGCATCCAATAAGTTTTGCCCGCTGTATACGATACTGCCCGGCTGGGTGGCCCCCCGCGAACCTCGCTAGCCAGCGGGCAACTACTTACGCTGTAACATGTACTTCTAGTAGCGCTTCTCTATCACGAAAAGGGCGCCACAATGCCCCTTTTTGTGGCTAGTCGCACTTATAAACCCCGGCAAGAATTGTGGCTTCCACGCTATCGAGAGGAGCTATGACGATTTAGATGCGCCTTGGCATCCACCAATCCGCGGTACCTCGATGTCCCGCGTAGCATCGATTGTCTTAAGTTCAAACCCAAACTTCCCCTCTCAACTCTTGCCTATCATGCCAAAGCCGGGCTCGAATTGTGACGGCGTCACTGGTGTACTTCGAGGATGCGGTTGAGTTTGGCTCCAGTCTGCCGGCCGCAGCAATGGAAACCGCTCCTCACGGCCCGTCGATCATATGCCTTTCAGTCCGGCAGCCTCAACTTTGAAGTCTTCAACCGTCGCGCAAAGTGGTTGCAGAAGGAGAGGGCAGCTGCCAATGTTGAAGGGGGTCGTCAAGCCGACTACCTCAAGGATGAGGTCGCCATGCGCGTGTGCGAACGTCTTTTGGTACATCATACCCCATCTCCCTCTCCTCTTTAGCTGTCTGTCATGTGGAACTAACCTCATTCCACCCCTCCAGGACGTCAAACGCCAATTCCCCCGCGTCCTCGACCTCGGCGCAAACTCCTGCAACATCGCCCGCGCCGTCCTCCGCCCAGACCCGGACCCCGAATCCGAGCCCCCGGTCACCGACCCCCTAGCCACCAAGATCACCGAGCTCGTCGCCGCCGAATCCTCCCACTCCCTCCTCCACCGGGACCACGACCACCCCTCTCTCTCCACCACCCATGTTCCCGACTTCAAGCTCACGCGCCACGTCCTCGAGCATGACGAGCTCCTCCCCTTTGAGCCCGACTCCTTCGACATGGTGCTCAGCAGCATGTCCATGCACTGGATCAACGATCTGCCGGGCGTGCTCTCGCAGATCAACAGCGTGCTGAAGCCCGACTGCCCGTTCATCGGCGCCATGCTCGGCGGCGACACCCTGTACGAGCTGCGCACGTCTCTCCAGCTGGCGGAGCAAGAGCGCAAAGGAGGAATCTCACCTCACGTGTCGCCATTGGCGGACGTGCGCGACGTCGGCGGCCTGCTGCAGCGCACGGGGTTCAAGATGTTGACGGTGGACGTGGAGGACATAGTGGTGGACTACCCGGACATGTTTGCGCTCATGCAGGACCTGCAGGCCATGGGCGAGGGCAACGCGGTGCTGGGGCGGGAGATGGGACCCATTGGCCGGGATGTGTTGCTGGCGGGTGATGCGATCTATAGGGCGCTGCATGGGAATGAGGATGGGAGCATTCCGGCGACGTTTAGGATCATTCACATGATTGGGTGGAAGGAAAGTCCGCATCAGGCGCAGCCGTTGAGGAGAGGTAGTGGGCAGGCGAGTTTGAAGGATTTGTTGGAGGGCCAGTGAGAAGGGAAGAGTAACAGATATCGACAGGAAACAGGAGGGAAACAGAACTCAAATAGGAAATGAAAATATGTTGAAGTAAGGTTTTCATATGGTTATAAGGCTTTCACGTCGTTGTTCCGAGAGTTCCATGTATTTGAAGTAGGGTAGTGGAAGCAGATATTCATTTTGTTGAAATAAGGTATCCAGGGAGTTGGCTCAAGTGAGTGGTTGGTGTAGTTGAAATGAAGTGTTGTTTGTTGTGGCTTCTCTCTTCATTAGTAGCTGTTGGTCCCAGTACCCTGACTCAGCTGCTTCCCTATATCTTGAAGCCAACAGCACCGTAAAGGCGGCACAAGCATTTGCTGGCGGCAACATGATATTGTTGCCAATTCCACCAGAGTGACAATTGTTTACAAGGTCAGGGGTATGTAAACAAGACAAGCCGGCCTGAGGCCGAGAATAGCCCAAGCATGCCTCCTGACCCTCTCACTGCTCGTCAACCGCAGACATCAACCCAAAATACAGCCAGTTTGATGTGTAATGCGTTATGTATTATTGCTGTATGATGGCGTATATCTCGCTCGGAACCGCATCGCATCGCTTCAACTCGACAACCAGCTTTCTCTTGCCCCCCTGCTTAACCTCCTTATACCCTCCGGAAGTCAGTCATGACGCGGCCTATGCAACCCAACCCAGCAACCTCGACAACCTTCTCATGCCAGCTCAACAAAACACTCATAGCCGAACCGGTCGACTCGTTCGCGGCCATAGGGCGCTGGCTGACTTGGCTGAAACCGGTAGCCTGGGGAGTCATGGCGCGAGCGGGCGTCGTCCTGCCAGAGCCATCGGAGGAGGCGGACGTGGCGCCCATGCCTTTGTACCTATATTATCAAATAGATAACCACTCCGTTAGCTCTATCCCATCTGTCTCCAACTCCTCGGCCTTCCCGCCGGAAAGCAAACAAAACAACAACAAGGAAAGAGTGTCGAGGAAGCCACATACAAATACTTGATCAAAACATCCAAACACTCGCTCCCCCCTGGCTGTCCGTAAATGCGCTGCAACATGGGCGTCATCTCGCTCGCCTTGATGCTCTGCAGCACCTCGATGACCGTGTGCAGGTGCGTCTCCTTGGCCGCTTCGGACCCGGCGTAGACGGGCATCTCGAGACATCCGCGCAAAGCACCCTCGGCGTCGCCGCCCCTGAGCAGCTGTCGCACCTGGCCGTTGATGGCGCGCGCGTCGGCCTCGCTGATTTCCGGAAGGGGAGGGTGCAGCGTCGACACGTCAAAGTTGACCGACGAGTCTTCGGTGAGAGCGTCAATGTTGATGGTGCGCCAGGCGTCGCTGAGCGTTGCTTGCGTGTGTTGCTGGATGATGGACATTGTGATCTTGGGTGGTGGGTTGGTGGGTGGCGGCGGTGTGAGGGTCCCGCGTTCTGGTGATTAGGAGGGGTTGATGTTTAGTTGTGATGGAATCAGATATGTTCGGCTTCAGGCAAGGGCGAAGTTGGTGAAGTTACCCGATTACTGTGTTCTCGGTCGTGGAATTTGGAGGGATAGGTTGGCGTCTGGAGGCTTGATTCGTTCGGCGGTGTTGGTGATGATGCTTGGACTGTCTTGGCCAGTGGAGGCTTGAACTGCAGCTAGGCACCTAGGAACAGCGTCTGGAGAGGGGAGGGTACTACACTTGGGTACCTCTGGGGCTAGCATTGGAAGCGGCCCCTCTTGAGGTCACTGCCGGCTCAGCCTGAGCTGCCCCTGGGTACCCGGGTGGGGCCGCGGATACCACCTGCACTAGTCTAATGCCCGGTCTGCGGGCAGCTGGCCTGTAGCTTCCACATTCAAGCTTCCCGCCAATCCCGTTCCGTCACAACTCACAACCTCCAGGTGTTCCGGCCCCGGTCCCGTCACTGGACCCCACTCCGGCCCGGTCCCTTACGTACATACCTATGTACCTCTACTTACTTGTGCTTGCCTTGTCAACTCTCTCCAATCTTCACATGCCTGGTCTGGTGTTTACTTCCTCGCACCCAACTTCAGCGTTACCTCTTCCATGAGGGGTGACTTCAAGCCGGCGGGTGCCATCCACATCATGATTCCGGCCGGCTTCCCTCACTGAGACTTCGTGCTCCTTAGGTAGATAGGTAGGTAGCAGCATTGTTGAATGCCCACTCCGTTCCCTCCCTCTAAGAGTTTTTGGAAATGTTCCTGCTCCAAAGTACCTGGAACGATGCTGCCAGTCCGTCCTTGACTCTAGGATTGGGAGGGGTGGTTGTGACCGTAGCCATCGCCCGCCGGCTACATCTTCATCCTCTGCTTGAGCATCATCTTGGGTCTTCGTGCCTCTTCCAAGCTCAGTCTAATTACACGACAATATCACCACGACCATGACTACGACCATGACTACACCCATAACTACAAAGTCCGGGCGCTACTTGTACGCCAACTACAGGCGCCACATCAGCCCTCTCGTCTACTGGGTTTTGCAAACATCCACCGCTCTCGTCTGGTCTCTGCCATCATCATATCCAGACGCCCCAGACGTGCCTCTCGGCGACCCGCACATCACTCTTTCACACCTCGTTGCCCTCTCCAAGTTCATCGGCAAGCATGTTGAACCCGGTGATGTTCCTACCGCCATCCTCGGCTTGTTTCTCCTCGTCACCGGCGCGGTATATGATTGCCAGGCCGCGTTGCAACGTATCGCAACCAAGAAAACACACCCTGATGTCGAAAAGGGCATTTCTTCCCTGGAGAGATTCGCCGAAGCCCTGGGGGAATGTTACGTTGCTCTCGGCGGGTGGGATTGGGCCCTCCATGATTATACCCCCTTAGACAGCCTGTCTCCCTATCTTCCCTTGACCAAAGGAAATGTCGACTGCCTGGTGATCAAGGAGTTTGTCGCACTCGATCCCCCTGAAGCTTCCGAGGCCGACCAAGACTCGGAGCAAGAGACGTCTCAGCAAGCCGGCCCTCGGCTTGGGCACCAGCGGAAGCAAGCCAGACCCGGCAAAGGCAAAAGGGGCAGGCGTAGGAAGGATAAAGATACAGCAAAGTCCAAGGCTAAGGACATCGACAAGGGACCTCTCCCTGACGTGCTCAGCAATAGACTGCTGGATAGCTTTGATGTCACCCTGGATGAGCATGGTATGACTACCGGTTATATCATAGCTGCCTACGACCTGATCAAAGACTGTGTTGAATTCAGAGCATATCTCCAGGACCTGTGGTACGAGGTTGCCTACGAAGGGCTCCACAGCGCGGTAGCGGGTGCCCTATCCAATACCGCCCTGAACATGATCCATGGTCATGAAGACGTCTTGTCGGCAAATTTTCCTGACAAACAGACTTTTCACAGCGTCATAAGCACCGTGTCTTCCGTCCTCGGGCTCCGCGATGAGCCAGGAGTCACTGGAGCCAACAAGGGAGACGCGGACCTCATGGATGCCAAGGAGATGCTTCTATTGCATACCTACCACGATCTTCTTGATTTTATTACTGATTACCAGAAGAATGACAACGGTAAACCAACAAAACGGATGATGAAGGAACTCAATAACTGGAATCCTGACTTTGACCTCCGACGCGCCACCATGGAAGAACGTCTCAAATGGCGTCGTGCATATACCATCAACTGGCTATATGACCTGGCCAATGTCTTGTCTAACAGAATGGCCCAGGTAGCAGAGGTCAGTGAAAAAAGGCCTGGAGGAGGGATTTCGCGTAAAGAAGCACAAAGTGCCAGAGTGTTGGGGCTCACGTCGTTTGCCTTTCTTATCAGTCTTCTCGCTACCTCGGACGGCAAAGTTGGCATTCGCGAGCGGATTCTACCTCATCATGTCTTTCAGCTGCAGTGCATCGTCGATTCACTTACCGTGACAAAAGGGTGGATACATGATCTACCCAAGGGCCACGTTTTTATTGCACCTCCGCCCGCCGACAAATTCCGGCCAATGCGCGATGTCGACCTTTTTCTACACGGCATCGATGACGCACGGCCAGGCATCCTCACTGGATTTGAGCGTCTGGAAGCCTTGCTGAGGATTGAGGCCAATCTGCGTCCAACAAGCAAGAAGAATCCGCAATTCCAGGAGATACTTGAGGCTGTCCGCGAGATATGTACTCAGTTTCTCGGAAAACACCCAGCCCTGGGGAACAGGTCCCGATTTTCCACCACAGATCCAAACGCGTTGTGGCACTATTCGCCCTATCTTTGCGGTGTCGGCCTTGCCGAAGCTCTGGACGCGCAGTTTGTCTCCATTCTGTATGTCTGGGGGCATCAAATGGAGCCTGTGATGCTAATGCATTTGTACAATTTCCTCCGACAAGAAGGATATCTCGAAAAGCCCGTTGATTTGTTCGAAAGCTTACAGCGACTCTTCCCAACTAGCTTCTTTCCCAATGGAGAGATGCCTGTTTCAGACCATGGTAACGCCCTAGCTGACTTTCTAATCGACCTCGAGAACAAAGAGTCGAGGAAGAAAGGAAAGTGGAAGACCCTGAGTGGTTCGGGAGATCCTGTTCATCTTACAATCCCATATGAGTCTATGTTGGTCCTCCTCCGCGAAAAAGCATGGAACATTTACCGGGTCCCTGATGATTACGTTGCTCTGTCTTCACTTCTTGCGAAGCTTCGTATTGCTCAAACCGAGCATATCACTGATCATGTCACCGGGAAAAGACGTCTGAAGAAAACAACCCTCGTTAAGCGGGCCAAGGCCGCACTTGTCACCGAAGGCCTCACTGAAGACCTTGCCGAAGAGAAGTTGTTAGCCCTGGCGGATGCGCTGGAGGAATTTGACTGTATGCAAGAGCAGCAAGCAGAGGATGCCCACGACACGCCGCAAGAAATCCGAAACTGTGAGTGGTTGGACATTCTAAAGGTCGATCTCACAGCCGACGTCGATGGCGACCATCCAACATGCGGCCTCAATCTAGCCAAGATCACGTGGCGCATGATCAATATTTTCGGCTGTATCGAGGAGGAGTTGCGCAGATTGGGCAACAAGACTTATCTTAACTTTTGCAATGACAAGGGCGAGTATGATAGCAGCAAATACATGTATAAAGAGACAGACGCACGCACGCTCCTGGTTCCGATGGCCATGGTCAACAAAGACGTGCAATTTCTTGAGGTTGTCGCAAAAACTCTCGCAGAGGAGTTCACGACGTTGTCGGATTCGATCTATTGGCGTGAGCTCAAGTTAGGCACCGGGCGATCAACGTCACCACAGACGGGTCGTGAAGTTACCGCCGATGCTAGTGCCAGTACCGTTGACAGGAATGCTGTTCATATGGATGAATGCGTGGTTATCAAGGGTGTGGCTACTGAAGATGGCACCGTGTTGATTTGAAATTGAGTAGATTGTATTTTCTCGTCTGTTGTCTTTTTGTTGTACATGTTATCAACAGCCGTACAGACTACTGTTTTTATTACAGCGTATGAAAATTGAGATCTTTTTTTGTCACATTCTCTGGTGAAGCTAGCAAATTCTGATCTTAACCTATGTTTTACTGGGTTCGCTTCGTTTCCGAGGACGCGAAAACCTCAACTACACCACGTCAGTTCCCATGATAGGTTTTATTACACACGAAACTCTCATTCATCATCAGGATCCAATGCTCACGGCCAGAAACCAAAAGAGGTAAAGTAAATATCTTCTATAATATGGAACTCTCCTCTCGTCATCTTAGTAACCTATCAATACAAGCCTACCGTACACCTTTCCATACGATATACGCCGTCTCAAGACTAATCAGCAAGCTAAGTAACGCCTGTCAACCCTCCTCTCCAAATCCAGCTCTTCCAGCTCGTGAGTAACAAGTACCACTACCGAACTTCAAACTTGTCACTCGCCACGATTTCCTTACATGTATCAAAGAAAGTTACAATTACGTTTTAACTTTTACAGAGAAATCGCCCATCCCAGATTTGGAAAGTGCGGGCGTGCTGTCGTCTACCATAGTGTGCTCCAGAAGAATTGAACCACATGACAAACTAGTAAGTACAGAATACAAAAACAATAAAGCAAACATGAAGAATTGGCATTACTAACTGTTTATCTAGACGAAGTCATCAATACCTCTACATAAAAATTTCTTCGCAGTCTGTATTATATACAACAAACGAAAAGAAAGGTGGTGAACGACGAGTGTCCGAGTTGATACTACTGCCCTGACTATTCCAAGATCCAACGAAGTATCAGTCTTGTACTTGCTTGGTATTCTACCAGCACCGCACCACAATGTGTGCTAAGTTGGGTTGTGCTTGGATTTATAAACCCATGAGAGACATAAAACAAACACATACGACCATACCCACTGGAAAACTCGGGATCCCGTCCGCTCTCCCATAGATAAGCCAGTGAGGGCCAGACTAGTAGTTGGGTCGGTGACGACCAGCGAATCCCTGGTGTTGTATGTTTTTTTGCCGTCACTCCTTTACACTTTTTTTTTTCCTTGGTAAAAATCATTCAAGAGTGTTTCTCAAACTCATCGTGCTGTCTGTCGTCAGTGTTCCGCGGCATCGCTTGACTATTTGATGTTGGTTGTTGCTGAGAGGAAGACATGTGTTCAGGAAGAGCCAGAAAACAAAGCAGTCACGCACAGACCACAGCACTCTGTTATGGTCGTCTCCAGTTGCCCCTATCATTTGTGTTTATCCAAAATCATCCTCCCTTTGACTCTCCTCTCATAGCTATCAAGTCCGCCACTTCGATTCAGTATCGATTTGCTCCAAAATTCGGCAACCCGGATGATTGAACGACGGCGCTTAAGGGTCATCAAAGTACCTCTAGTACCTAAGGTCCTCCCAGCATTGCCGTTGCTTTACCTACTCTACTGTACATGGTCCGCATCAATTCCTCTGCACAGTAAGGCGAGATTTCCACTACCGCTCTACCGCCTGACCGGACAGCCCCCGAATTGTTTGGTGATGGGCTGAAGTAAAACACTATTCATCCTTATCATCCGACTTCAGTTTGTTCAGGAACTTCATCAGCTGTTTCTTGGTCTCCTCCGTGTCTTCTGGATAGGCATCCTCGTTCCATTTCAATTCGCGCTTTTCAGCTTTACAACCTCTACTGTTGGCTTCGTCTGGCGGCAGGGGGTTTTCCCAATGCGACGGTATGAACCTCCACACTCTTGGGAAGTTTTTGTCGTCTGACTTCGCCGCCATGATTGTGAAGGCTCGCTTCATCGCGGCCGGATTTTCGAAATAGTTCGATCCAACCAATGTCCCATCATTAGACGAGTGGATCAACCGATCGCAAAACATCACAACCCCTGCCAGGCCCGCTGCCAGCGCCGTCGATATAGAGCTTCCGCCAGGCGGCACTTCGCTCCCATAGCCGGCACGTCTGCTCGCGCTAATACTTTGCCCATTCTCCTGAAGGCTAAAGTGCACGGATTCGTCTCCCGGCAGCAGAAAGTCGCTTGACTTTGCTGATACCCAAGAGAGTCTCGAACCATCTCCCGTCGATGCCCCGATCTTGATACAGCTCCCCTCCTTACCGGGGTACGTGTTGTCATCCCCCACGGGGCCCTCATCAATGCTGGAGCAAAACATGACAATATTTTGGGCGCGAGCCTTGTCCAAGGCAGACTTCAGCCTGTTGATGTCGCTGCTTCCTGGGTCCAGATCAATGCTCCAGCTCATTGAAATGATGTCCACGCTTCGGCTAACCGCCCATTCGATGGCTTCGATTGCGCTCTGTGGCGTGAACCCACGGCGTCCATCGCTTCTTGGCACAGGCTCCAGCTGGGCAATGTAGAGTTTGGCCACGGTTTCAGGGCAAACGGCGCAAATGAGCTGGGCCATGAGCGTGCCGTGGGACCCAGTAGGCACGTAGTAGGCGCCTTTCCAGCGTGAGCCAGCCGCGTAGAACGATTCGCCGGTTTGAATCCTCTCAGTGAAGATTTTCTGGGTGCTGTCTATGCCGTCGTCAATAATGGCGATCTTGACCGGTGTGACGGGTGGTTTGGGCTTGGTGGAGCGGAGAAACTCGGCAAATTGTTTCATCGTTTTTATCCATTTCGGCTCTCTGGTGCGGCTTTCAGGTTAGTCAATGAACCGAGCTGGACAACGCTTCATCAAATGACCGGTTGTTGAAGAATACTCACCCTGAAGTCTTTACGGAACTTGAGCCTTGGAAGACGGAGCGATCCTGTGTGGGCCAGTATAATTTCAGGTCTGGTCTATGTCCGAGAAGTTCCTGTTTGAATCTCTTTTGGTACTCTTGTAGCTTTGTCGGGGTCTCAAGGCTCTATTCTCAGAAAAAAAAAGGAACAATCAGCTATTTGATAAGGTCACGCCAAAGGAAAGGTACATGTTATTGAGGGCTACCCGAGCGAATGGACGGATATACGTACGTCTTTGACGAATATACGGACTTTCCTCAGCTGCACGAAGTGCGTTAGCCTCATGCATGCCATCGTCAATAGGTATGGTCTACTCACCTTCTTCAACTTTGGGAGCCCACCTATGCTTGACCATCCAACAAACACGGCATTATTTCCTGACGAGTACAAAGTTACGTCTGTGACATTCGGCGCCGAATTTGCTATGACATCGATGCAAAGATCTACCCGGCGCCAGTTCCATATCTTCACGTCCAGGCCACCCATACACCTTTCAATGGCTTCGTCAGAGTGAGAGAGTTTTCCTTCGTCCATGACCGTCACCTTCATAACGGATTTGACGTGAAGCTCCTTGAGCCAACGAAAAATGGTGCACATGTGCTAAAGCCCTCTGGCCTTAGGTTTGGGTTTACCCCGGCTATTTTGGTGTTCGCTTTAGCATCATCTACGGAAGAGTCAACTTGGTATGTCTTGGTCACTTACCGCTCGACAATCATATCTTGTTGTCCCTGATCGTTGACCCCAATCACTTCACTGATTTCATCTGCATCGTTCGCGACAGTCAGCCGCGGCAGTGCAACATATTTCAACCGCCCTTCAAAGTGCAAGACGTTGCCGAGTCTGCCGAGCAAATCCTCGTTTATTGACTCATACGGCAAGCCAGTCAAGTCAAACTCAATGGTTCTCTCTGCAGCAGGGATGATGAGGACCCCCATTGTTAGCCATTGACTTCAATTATGTTTCGAAATGCGTGACATACCATATCCCACTCTGTAGAGAGCCTTCATTGCCGCCCTCCGATCGAAGTTGTCTATGACGTACTCGCGAATCCAACGCAGCACCCCATCCTCGTTCGCCAGTTGGACCTCTTGTTTGTAATCGTGACTTGGCATACACCCAAACTGTCGGGCGTAAGTAGAGGTACCTTTGTTCGTACCTCTAGAGTCGGATGCGCTCAAACCACGTGATAAATATTCATCTTTCTGCTGGTCCTTGGTTTGCCCAGTCCCCTCTCCTTGCTCATCATCATCCTCTTCCTCATCTTCATTCTCTTCCTCATCTTCATTCTCTTCCTCATCTTCACTCTCTTCCTCATCATCCTCTGTTTTCTCGTCGGCTTCCTCATCTTCCCCTCCCTCATCACCGTTCCTCCTCGCTCCTCCCCCCTCATTCCAATGTTCTGTCCTCCACGCGGTTGCCGTATCTCCTGCTCGACTGCAGCTCTCTCACGTGCTTGCTGTTCTTGCTTCTTTTGTCGTGCTTCCTCTTCCCTCTGCCGTGCTTCCTCATGTCTTTGCTGTGTTTTCAACTCTAAGCGGAGCTGGAAAGGGGTGCGGCACTCTTTATCCTCGATGATGAGAGCCTTGGGGTTTGCTTTGATGAGTTTTTCGATGATGGTTGACTGGCAATAATCATGTCGCTGTACACGGCCTGCTTCAATGTCTCCATTGGGGGGTGCTCCATTTGTGCCGTTTGATGCGTCAACACCAGCTTCTTTGCCAGGTGTCTTGGAAGCAGTATGCTCCTCGTTTTTGCTACCGATTTGGACGGCAAAGTCCCGGAGGGCCGTCCGTTCCCCATTGCTGTCAGTGCTTGAGAGGGAGGCTTGGCTTACAACAGCTTGAGGCCCATTGGTCGCAGGCTTCTTGTCAGGTCGAAGGGGTTCGCTGGGTTGTTGTCTCGCACGCCTCTCTATATTTTCGCGGAATTCCTCCTCAGTTGCCCTCTGCTGGTGGTCCTCCGCGTGTATTCGGACGGCAAAGTGGAGGGCCGTCCATCCTCCCCTGTAGTCGAGGCTTGAACTCTTGGCAATGAATACATTGTCTTCGAGCCTGTCCAACTTGGAAGTTGTCATTTCGATCTCGCTCTCCGAACCTGAGTCACTTTCGTTGGCTTCGCGGTGCTTATGGCTGCCCATGGATGTTTGTTGCACAAGGTTCCACAAGATGGCAATGATGGTCTCGGTGAACGGGCTTGCGTTGCTGATCGCCTTGTGCAGACAGGTAAGGCCAACTTGATCACCCTTTCCCAGGACAGTCCTGATTGCCTTGAAAGTTTCCGGCTTTGAACTTCGAGTTACTTTGTCCTCCAACTTCTCCAACGCCAGCCGGACAAACTCGTGGTTGTTGCACTCTATGGCAAGGTGTAGTGGAGTATCGCACTTCTTGTTTTCCCATCCAAGCAGCTTGTAGTTGCGTTTAAATGCCCATTCAATGAATTTTTTGTACTGGTCGAAAAGGGCCGGCACTTCGGCCAGCTTGTGGAAGACCGTTGCGTTGGGCGGGGGACGGGCTGTGCTTGCATCTTTGGCCTTCTGAATTTCCTCTGAACTTGTGCCGCCAATGAGATCCTTGAATTCTTTAACAAATTTCTTGGTCTCTTTTATGTTCGAAAAATCCACCTTGCTTGCCGCCTTCAGGACGTCTTCGACATCGGAGGTTTTGTTCTGATGCTGTATACCTCCGCGGGAGTGCCCAAAGGTAGGCTCGGCCCGGGGCATTTTGGAGGTGCCTTACCGCAAGGCGAACGAGAGAAGTGGAAGTCAAAGATAGGTAGATAGAATTGAAGGTGAGACAGTGGGCTTCAAGCTCAGAGGTATTGTCCGGTTTCTAGTGAAGAACACGGTGGATTTGACAGCAATGCAGAAGGCCTATTCGAAGTGACAGTTGAGATGGAGGGTTTGAATCGTCGACCATAGATCAATCAACCGACTGATGCGCGTCAGTTCGTGAGATAAACGAGGGGGAAATGGTTAATAAACACAGATCTTACCTAAGCAATTGGGATAGGTAAGTGCCCGAATTGAGCAAAAAAGTGATGGAAGAACAAAGAGGTAGGTAATCTGGAAATCGGCAAGTGCGGCTGAAAACCATGAGTTGGACTGTCCATCCCAAGGATGGTCTGAATAACTTTGGGAGTTCTAAGCCACACCATAAGACAGCTTAATGTGCCAGGTATCTACCTCCACCTGCAGACACCAGAACGTGATCAAATGTGGCCTCCGATACGAGTTTATTGGTACATGTAGCGATGAACCAACTCTCCAATCTCCATTTGGGTTTGGTTCGGCTAATCGGGTAGATCCCTAAGGCGGCGTATCTTGTATGCATCTTCCTAGCTACAGGTCAGGTGCCCGCTTCCCGTTCTTACTGCACGACTGGATGTGACAATGTAGCACCCGCATCCCACGCCGCGATAAGGCATGCAGGAATATGGGCCCCTCATGTAAGGATCGCGAACATGGACGTCACGGCGGCAGCGTATAGCACCTGGGCAGCGTGTAAATGAGATAACTCAAAGGAGTTTGGACCATTTTGCAAACTACATCCTCCAATTTCTAGCGGTTTATGACTCCGGTATCCTAAGGTACACACCTACACATCCTTACATACCTAGGTAGGTACCTACATGGGTAGAACTTACGTATGTACCAGTGTAGGGAAAGGGGGTTTGTAACCTTTGGGTTGCGTTCTGTCATAGGCGTTCGTAGGGGTGGCCTCGCTCGTGTATAAGAAGCGGAGGAATCGGTATGTCCTTGGAAGTATGCAAGCGAGACTTTGACAAACATCTTCATTCATACATTTGCTAGCACGTCCTTCCAATACTGTGTAGTCCAATCGTATCCATCCGCATTCTGCTATCCATCACGCTCACAGGCGCCTCTCTCAGTCTCCCAGAGAACGCAGACACTCTCTACATCATGGGGGATGAGTTCACGATTACCCGCAATCTGTACGAAGATCCCGAGCGGTCACAAGGGTTAGACCGAACCAGTTACCACTTGAAAAATCCACAAGGAGAGGTTTTCCGAGACACCTTTGCAGAGACGCCGAAAAAGAAGTCTAAGCTCAGCTACAGTGCTAAGCTGATCGAGATACACCACGGGGAGATGGAGCTCGATGGCAAATCCTGCCAAGGCACGCTTATCGTCTTCGAATTTCGATTTCACTCCACAAGCACACACTCATCAACCCGCTACAAGGCTGTGCGTATTGACTTGGAATTCCAAAATGGAAATGGTGTCGCAAAGAAGGATCCCGTGGTTGTCCGCATCGCACCGGACAAACAGTACTACCTCAACAAGACCACTCGCGAGGAGACAAGGACGTGCGGGGTGTCAGTCGGAACCAACTTAGGTCCAGCAGGGCTGGCTGGTGCCGAAGCAAGTATGAACTGGGAGCTTTGCACGCAGTCGACCAGAAGATTCAAGGCCACTTTAACAGGGGAATCGAAGTTTTCGTCCCAAAAGTCAGTCTGCAGAAACGCCGTGCGGTGGTCGATGGCAGAGAACAGTGGGGCCAAGGATGGAATTCCGACCTTTCTGCAGGCTGCGGTGTTGCTAAAAAGGAACAACAACGAACCCTTCATCTGCCAGCTGAGCCTCGAAAGCGATGCCAACTTCGGCAATAAGTTCCTCCGCTTGTCAGACAAGTTCAGCGATGTGGACCAAGTCATCGACCCAGTTACGTTGGATCCCAAGATAAGGCAGCTACAAAGCAATCGACTCACCCGCATCCAGCCGGAAGACCTGGGGCAGATGCAGACTATCCTGGAACGGATTGACAGCTACGTCAAAGTCAGCTTTTCGCAGCCCGACCTTACTCCTCCCCGCACCGAGTTGCCGACATCATCCTCTCCTTCAGAGCCGAGCTTGGCTGAGAAAGATACTGTTACTGTTACTGAAACCCGGGGGCACCCCCACCCTCTGCTGGACAACACGATCAAGAAGTTGGTCGTGTCAGAGGTGCCTAACATGCAGGAGTCAAAGTCTACCTCTACTTCGACCTCCTTACCTCTAGTGGATGTCCCAGTATTGGCGTGCGAGGTGCAGGAAGCGGGCGAAGTTGATGCATCGACATCTCACCTGGTGCTTTTGGCAGCCCAGGAAGCCGCTGAGGCGGCAGCAGCGGCAACTAGGGCTGCCACAAAGGCAATGGAAGCGGTTAATGAAGCGGCAGCGGCGGCAGCGAGAGCATCCAGAGCAACCAATCTACTAGCAGAGGTTACATCTCGAATGGTCAACAAGGAGAGGCGTTATCATGGTAGCTGCAGCAGCTCAGATAAGCCTACTGCATAAGGATTACTGATGTGCGGCGGCGGCGACGAATGATGCGGGATTTCGGAGGAGCATGTTGCAGCCTACCTACAGCAAGCAGCACAGCGCCTGGATTGCTGTCCATTCAGTTCATTGGGGTCACCAAGCCCTGGAATGAATTGCCCGGGCTGCCCGCGATTGGGACAGATAATTGTGGTGTAGTTACATTGGATGTGATATTAGATGCACTGCGGAGGCAACCCAGAAAGAGGCAGCCTAGGAGCACTTCATAGAGGTACCTGACCAAGAATCCTGCAAATTTAGAAAAGTGAAAAAATGAATTGTAGTGTCCTATCTAAAAGAGCCAGGTACCGGATGTGTGGAAGACTCATACAGTGAGTGGGTTACATGGTAAAAAAAAAAAAAAAAAAAAAAAAAAAAAAAAAAAAAAAAAAAAACGCACAATTGGTGATTTCACCGCAAAACTCGTACTTTTCAGGTTTCGAAACAACATCATCACCCTACCAATATTCAAATGATCTAAAAATTTGAGCATGGAAGTTGACTTGCGATGCCTTTAAAATACAGGTACTTCTAAATTATTTTTCAGGAATTGTGCAAGTTACGAGGCAGTAGAGTCAGTATTAAAATGGAAACCCGATTTTTTAACTAAGGTACCTACTACAAGCCCCTATAAGCCCGCTTAAATGAATTTCTCAACCTGACCCTCCTATAAAAACCACGCTTCTACCACTACCATACACTGGAATAATTCAAGGGTCTTGGTATAGATTAACAGTACCATGAACTCTTATCTCGAAAGAGTGCATCCAGTTAAAGGCATAGTAAGGTAGTTGGATCGAGGAGTGTCGAAGGTGACTTTTTGGTATTGTTTGCAGGGACATTGCTTTTTTGTACGTTTATTTGTAGTATCCACTCACTGTACCTCAAACACTTGTAGTAAGGGTACCTCAGCTGTAACCTCAGGTGCGGATGTATATTGAATTCGCCGCGACGGCTCCAAGGAAGTAACGAAATGATAGGACGGGTGAATTGGAAGGAAACGCATCAAATGTTCCTACCCTGGGGATTGGAAAACTTGCGGCTGCAGTGTCTTTCACTCCTTGACGAAGATGCAGCAACTAAATACCGTTCCGGATACCGGCTGTTGTCCTGACGCTCCGGTCTCGTCTCCTCTGCTTGTATTCGACACATCTTCCTCTCCTTCAAAGACATTCATAGACCCTTCATCCAGGCCTTCGCGTTGCATGATCAGTTGCGTGACATTTCTAGCTTCCTGTCGCCTGCGAGCTTTTTCCAGTCACTGGCTTTCTCCCCAGCCCTGGCTGTCTTCATTCCACACTTTGCGTCTCTTTTCCCGGCAGTTGAGCTGTAAGCTGCGCCATCCCGCTCCGCCGCCTCACACCAAGCCGCGAAACTTCCTGTAACCATCAAAGTCAACTGAGGGTATAATGCTCATACGATGAAGCCTCTGTAAGTGGCCATCCAGGCTTTTCGATTATCACTATCTCCCCAGCCAAGCGTTTGGTTGTATGCACATCTGAACTAGCCTACAACAGCTGACGCAATACCATATCGCTCTGCATATAGCTTCGTTGTGATCAACGGCTTAGACGATCTGGAAAGCAACAACAGTTGTTCGACAGAAAAGCGCAATTCCATCCAAGCCAAGCCGATTTCAGATCTGTGGCCGGATGCCGAAGTCAGGATCTTTGACTTGTTTGATAAGAACGCCCCGCCCTCGCAAGTCAACGAGATTTATCTTATACAGCATGCTCGACGTATCATTCGCGACTTGAATTGCTCCGATGATGTACCATTGCGTGTGAGTCTCACCTAGGAGAACCTCGCGAATTTAGCAATCAGACTTTTAACCATGTATTTTGGGTCAACCACAGACTTATGCCAATCCCTCCCCAGTGGTGTTCCTTGCTCACAACTGCGGCGCTGCACTGGTTCAAAAGGTAACATCAGCAATACACACGGGAAAAGGCTCATGAGTTGACTCATGTGTTTAGATCTTGTTCTTGGCCATCCAAGACATTTCTTCGCAGTGGCTCGCTATTTGGGCAGTCGCTGTTGTACGTGCCTCCCGTTGATCCAAAATGATTGCGTGCTATGCTAACAAACGGCTGTTGTAGCACTTTGTTAACTCGCTTGCGGTTGTCAACGATGGGCAGTCCGAATGGGAACATTACGTTGTCAACCTCCTATCGAATACTAAAATGGGTCTTTGGCACCTTTCAGGCATCTTTGAAAAGTTGCCGAGTGCATTGTTGCAAGTTGGGGTTGAGTTCTCGGCCATCGCAGATGCATTTAGCATTCATTACCACAGCATCCAGAGTACAGTAAGTGCACATAACAACACTACACTATCGTCCAACTACATACTACCGCGAAACACGTCAAAACTGACCAAGACCACTTATTCGCATTGCAGGGCTCAGACAAAACTTTGCGTGGCTTGTGGGGCCTCCACAATGGGCAAGAAGGATACGTTGACATGCTTGCAAGCATCCATGGGGCCCTTCATCAGGACTGGTGGGACTCATTTAGAGGTGAGTAGGGGCACCTCGCTATTTATCCGGAAAGATTATTAGCTGCTTCTCCCCAAGGTCTTCACTAACGCGATCCGCTTTGAACCAGAAACACGTCGACCATTTTGGGAGAGGTTCTATCACAGGTATATTGCGGTTGGTGGAGGAAGCTTGGGCTGGTTGATCCCAGACCGCCAGGGGCAGCCTTACAGTTTCTTACAGAGCAGCTTCCATGACAAACCCCCCTTCGATTTGAAGTCATGGATGGAATCTTCCAGGTCAGAAATCCTGCTGGTCGTTGGGTCTCCGGAATCTGGTACCAGAAGCCTTGCTTGTTGGGCTCTTACGACGCTACAACAAACGCCAAGCGCCCTCAAAGCGGACATGATGGTTCTCAGCTACGACTTCACTGCCCAAAATGCGAGACCAAGAACTGAGAGCTCCGTTCTTACGTCCCTCATTCAACAGATTATCATGCTCAGTCCCGACAGTTGTCTACACGTCAAGAGGCATATGAAAAGTATTTTCAGGTCAAACATGCCTTACGTACCGTGTAACCTGTTATGGAGCTTACTCAGAACTCTTCTCGAAGCTGTTAAGCCTCATCGAATATTTTTGGTCATACATGCCATCGACCAATGTCCACAAGATGCGCCGAGGGCAGGAACACCGAGACATCCACGAGCGGTCGGATGCAAACTGGCAGATCTCTTGCTCATCTCTCAAGGACCATTGGCCAGACACGTGAAGATCCTCATGACAAGCTCAAATGATTTGGGCCTAAAGCAAGAAAACCAGATACGGCGGTTTGACCTCAAAGAAGACAGCTGCAGAGACATTGTCAAGAGAGTTGCCAAAGAAAGAGTTTCAAAAGTCTTATCGCAAGCATCCGCTTGGAGAGACTTTGAGCCTGAGATCATGGAAAAGATTTGCGTGAAGGATCACACTTACCTTCAGACCATGCTCAACATCGGACTCCTGGAGCAAAGCACAATTCCCGCAACAAAGGAAGCCATAAAGTGTTGGTTGTCCAAACCCCTCCCTTTCGGTGCAGAATCTGCGCTCTTCGAGGTACACGACGTCATGTCAGCCAGAAACATTCTCAGCTGGGTGTCATACGCAGTTCGACCGCTCACCCTTCGCGAACTTTCGGTCGCGGTAGCGCTGCAGGGCCTCTCCCTAACTGATGCACTGATGATTGGAAATATGTCACTCGAGTTGCTAGAAGCCAAAGTCTCATCCAATCTAGCAAGAGACATTGAAAATCCCTTAAAGATACTCATCGATATCGAGGATGATCAGCACGTTACGCTTGCTCATCATACACTGCGGCCATATCTTGAAAAAGAAGGGACATGGCTATGGCCGGAGCAACACGCTTCAATTGCCAGTTGTTGTTTATCCTACATGAAGCTCTGCTCTCAACACAACACTGAAAACGATGCTCCACAGCCTGAGAATTCCGCGCTCGACGATGCTTTTGCGCTCTTGGAATATTCCCAGATTTATTGGACACAGCATTATGTCCTTGCGCGTTCATCCAACGATGACCTCGATGAGCAGGTTCTTGACTTTCTCACTTCCGGATCCGAGTCACCCGCCCTCCGATCATGGGCAGAGGCGTACCAGACTATTCATGATAAGGCGCAACTCGAACAGCTTGACATTGATGATCCTTTAACTTTGGCAGTCCAACTCGGCTTGAGTCGGATCGTGCGAGTGATAGTTGGGAGGGAAAACGTCCAACAACAACCGGAGAGGCTGGAGAAGGCACTGAGTCTTTCGGCCAAGTCCATGCCCCTGACATCCGAGATAATGGGGTATCTTTTGCCCCATAAACTTCCGAGTCACGACTTGAGTCCCGCACTTCTTGCTGCGGCACAATATGGCAACACGGACTGCCTTGGATTGCTCCTGGACCACATGGGTGGTTCTTTGGACGGCTTATTGCAGTCAGCTCAAGCACCTGAGAATCAAGATCCGGTCTTGTTAGCAGTCTCAGGCGGACACACATCAACTGTCGAGCTGCTACTTAACCGAGGGTGCAGCGTTCTCAGAGAAGACACAGTCAAAAACACCACACTACACCTCGCTGCGCAGCTGGGTGATGCCGAAACGCTGTCAATCATGAAGACGCTGCAAAAAACCGATTTCAGCATTGCACGACGGTTGAAGTCGACGCCTCGAGATCTGACACCTCTGGGACTGGCCTGTCGCATAGGATCGTCACCGACCATTGACATCCTTCTCGAGGATTGTGGCACCGAAGACGGCTCACCGCCATTCGGATTACCTACTGCCGATATCTTGGTGAATATCATGTTGACTGGGAACCTCACAATGTATCAGAAGCTTGCCGTTATGGTGAAGAATCCTTTCAGTCAGTCATACGAGCGATTTTCCACACCTCTCTTCGCGCGGACTGCTTCCATGGAAGTACTTAAGTACTTTGTGGAAGTGGAAGAGAAGTCAATCGAGGGTGATGCAGATAACGCACATCAAGATACACCCAAAAAAGCATTCAATGACGGGATATACGACTCCATTCGTTGCGCTTGTGAATGCCTTAACGATGATCTCGCAATTTGGCTTTGGAGGAAGTTGGATCAACCTGGATGGGATGTTCATTTTCGAACTGCGGTCCAACACGGTAGCCTCCCTTTACTCAAGCATCTTCTCAACCATGGATATCCACTGGATAAGACTCTGAGCACCAAATATGGTGTCACTACCTGGGTGGAGAGGATACACACTGCAGTGTTCTGTAATCACGTCGACGTCGTGAGATACCTCGCGCAAACCATGGCGAAGGCTAGGGACTCAGTCATCCAGCATTTGAAACCAAAGAAACCCGAGCTTGCATCATTACTCATCCGAGCCGCCCATTTAAATTACGTATTCTGCCTCCGCGAGTTGCTTCGTGAGATCTTTGTTCCTTTCGATCTTTCGGAGGTATGGGGCATAGTTTTGGAGAACGTTGTCACCGGGACCAGCCTGACAAGTCTTATGGATGTGTGTGAGTTGAAACCAAAGGGATATAAACTGTCCTCGTCTCTCGGAATAACGGCTTTGCGGAGGGCCTTAACTCTCGAGGATACACGAAGGTTGGAGCGTGTGGATGTGCTACTCAACAAAGGCATCTTGAAGCCCAGCTTGGCGGATAATGGTGACACATCGGCTCTACATGTCGCAGTGGGAGAAGAACCATACGACGTCAATGTCGTGAAGCTGTTACTGCAAGCAGGAGCAAGTCCAAATGTGGGCAAGGTGTATTCGCACACTCCCTTGCACGTTGCGGTCAAGAAAGGGTTGACTGATATCTTTCACCTTCTTCTCCAGCATGGTGGCGACCCTAATATATGTGATTACGAAGGTCAAAATGCTCTCCATCTGGCGATACGGGACGGAAGAAATGACATGATCAGGCTCCTTCTCGACCCGTGGATTCAACCCGAGCGGCACGGCCGTGATCATTCAAGCAGTCGTATGCCTCCCGCTCTATCCCGGCGCAACACCGAGAGACGGCGGGTTTCTCATCCAACCCCAGATCTGCTTTCGACAGATAATCTTAAGCGACCCTCCATGGACGCTCCAACGGCGGATATGCATAAAAAGACACCACTCATCCTTGCAGTCGAGAAAAGACTCATTGATGTTGTGCATAAGTTGCTGCTAGCGGGCGCAAACCCAAATCTACAAGCTTCAGACGGGTGCACTCCGCTCAATATCGCCATATGGACAGGGTCGCTAGAGCTGGTGAGGATGCTCATTGAAAATAAAGCGGACGTGAACAAGATAACCAGCCATCCGTTTGGAAGTCCACTACATTTTCTTGTTCGTCGACGCCCCAAAACCTCATACTTCCAGAATGTGGCAGAGCTACTATTTCAAAACAACGCAAACGTCAAGGCCCAGGACTTGCTCGGGTTTACTCCATTGATGAGGTACTTGTGCCAGTATCAAGCTCCTGTGATCGCTGTGGACCCAGCACCCCCAAGTGTTTTGGAGAAGCTTACAGAAGAGACCGCTCTACCCATCGCCAACACCTTCGGTAAAACCGCTTTGCATTACGCTGCCTTTTTTTCCAATACATGTGGTATGGTCATCAAACTTCTTCAAGCCGGGGCAGATCCACTCGCGCGTGACAATCTTGGCCACAGACCGCTATACTACGGTCTCCTCAACGTGGACAGGGCGGGCGAGATGTTGCCGGATTTGGTGCCAATCTTGATCAGTGCCATTCCTCCAAGTGCCCGGCGCCTTACCCTTTCTGAAGCTATCATTGCAGCAGTGAAGACCGGACTGGAAAGGCCGTTGGATATGATTTTAGAGGCGGCAGGAGAGGGTTTTGACTTTCTTGACAATCCAGACAATAGCGGGTACCGGGCCCTGGACATTGCCTCTTCGTTTGGGAAAGGTTTTGAAACGGCTTGCCAGAAGATCATTAACTTGGGAGGGAAGGCTGCACTAGACGATGAGAAACAGACGCCTACGCAATGGAACAAGGATGATAGGAGCGAGTATCTCGACGTGTCGGAGAATGGAACAGAGGTGTCATCCATAGGTATGATCGTTCCCATTTCCCATACATGGTAACTCGTGAGAGATCATGTGCTAATAGACATATGAAACGCAGCATATCCAATAGATTCCAACTCGATGCTGCTTATCGGAACAGTGCGGGCGGATCATCCTATTCCCACCAACAAACCGTTCTACTTCGAGGTGGAAGTTGTCGAACTGCCGATACTAGGCTGCGTTTATGATGAAAAGTGAGTCTTGATCCAATCAACCTCTAGGTAGCATTTGCCTTCTGATTATACTTACTTCAACTGACAACACACTACAAAACGTTCAGCGCAGTCGCAATTGGCTTTCAAACGGAACAATGTACACTACGCGCTTGCGTCGGCTGGAGAAGAAGCTCATGGGGTTATCACAGTGATAACGGCGAAGTGTACAGTGATGACGGCGAAGTTTACAACGCCTTGGATCTTAATTACAGGTCCATTTACGGGGATGAGGATGATTGTAGACCTACACTGTACGGTGAAACCGACGTCATTGGCGTTTTTGTCGACCAGCCCTTAGAAAGGGCCAGGTTTCGGAAGAACGGCGAGTGGGTCGGAAATTGGTTTCATGGAGTCGTTGGGCAACTCTACCCCGCTGTGTCGTTTTACGTCAGGTCCGACACTACAGCCAAGGTGAAAGTCAATTTCGGTCATGGGCGGGATGGGAAGACTACCGCCTTCAAGTACCCGCCCAAGGAGGAAGACTGGGAGGACACGACGCCTGAGGTGGAGAGACAAGGAAAGGAAGAGAAGGTGGAAGAAAGGGGGGAGACAAAGGAGCAGGATACAGAGGAGGAGGAGGAGGAGGACTCTGAGGAGGAGGATTTGACAGAGCCTGAGGAAGAAGAAGAATACTCGACCGAGGAGAAGACTGGTTCCGAAGAAGAATGATCATTTGACTCGAAATCCGAGAAAAGGAAGTATCACTAGATGACAAACGCCAGGAGATTGCTTGATATGGGGTAAATGGAGAGTGTGGATGTTGATACGATGTATTCCCTTTCTTCCTTCGCTTTTCTTGCAGGGTATGTCAATAAGTTTGGTTTTGGACACGAGGATCTCGTTCTGTATCTCATAGTGTCAATGTGTTCTATCAGCCTTAATCCCCGCCAAGCAGTTGATGAGTGCTAGTCAGTGGTTAAACCGGGGCTGTAAAGCTCGAGTTCAAGAATATCGTCAAGATTTCTCATGTCATGCTCCTTGGAAAAAAGCGTAGACGTACCTTAATTAGGTACCTTTAGAGGGGCGGTCTGATCGTCCAAGCCTCTCGGTTCAAGCGCGGTTTTTGAACGGAGCGTTGATTGGTTTAGATACTGCAGAAGAAAGGGTGGAAGGAATTCTTCCAGCTTCCACAAAAGCATGTTAGCAGAGCGTCTTCGTGTTCAAAGCGCTCGCGGTAGTCCTTGAAATCTCCGTGGCCTGAACCACGACGCTAACGGGTCAACTGATAACGACGTCGTTGCTGACACTTCCAAAGCCTGATTCTGGCACTTGAAACACAAAATTAGGTAGTATAACGCCTCGGAAACGCCAAGTATAAATCCCAGGCAGAATGTCATACATGAAATTAGGATCCTTGGAGTGTGGTTGCCACCAATTCCCGACGACAGAACGTGACCCGCCCCATAACGCAACGACATGCTTTCTTGACACCAAGACAATCATAACACCGCCCTCTCACCTCACCTCGCGCTCTCGATGTACTTTCATAGGAAGTAGTCACCCAGGCCCCTACGGCCTGCGGGGATATGCCGTTGATCGTCTGGCACGGCGGAGAAGATGCTGAACTTTGTGTTTTGGTCGCGGTCCACGGTCATGATGGATGCGACGTTACCGCAACGGTAACAGTAGTTGGGTGCCGACCATACGGTTACGACCGACTTTTCGGCGAAGTGGAACTATGTGAGAAACACAGGTTAGCTGGCATTTCTTCTCAAACTGTGGAGAGCAACAAGGAGATCACCCACTTTGTAACCCTCATTGACCAGCTGATGCGCTCTTGCAATTGTTGTCAGACCGTTGACGTGGTTGAACTCTGTCGCGACCTTGTCTCCGAACAGCCAACCAGCGCCACGTGGACTGACAGCCCATGTATCGACGTCTTCTGGGTCACTCCACACCAGATCGCAGAAAGCACCCTCATGCGGGATCTCCTGGGCACGCGCAACGACGCGGATCTGGTCAATCGTGCGGATCTCGGGACTGAGACCGCCGTGGACGCAGAGAACGGTACCGTCGACAATGGCGGCAAGAACAAGAAAGTCAAACACTTGGCAGCAAGCCTTCCAGACAGAGGCGTTGCCGTACTTTTGCTGGCACTCCTCGTAGAAACCGTAGACCTGGGTGATTTGTCGGGATTCGTGATTACCACGCACTAGAACAATGCGATCTGGGTATCTTTTGGGCAAAAGTGTTAGCAGCGTGAACCGAACCGGAACTAGAACAAGGGGCCTTCGTACTTTGCCTTGAGACACATGAGAAGGGTGAATGTCTCTAAACTAAAGTACCCTCTATCCACAAAGTCTCCGAGGAAGACGAAGCGAGTGTCGGCCGATTGAGAGCCCGTGTTGGCGCTGGATTGAGGGGTCTCTTCACTTGGGGATTCCTTCTCGCTTCCAGCCCCAGCCTCGCTGTCTGTACTGCTCTTGATCTTCTTCTTGAGGTTGGGATCTGTGATTTCCGTTGGGGGCTCGATGTCCTCGGATGTGATGACGGTTGTTGCTGTCTTGGGCGCCTGGACGTTTGTCTCGCCTGGCATGCCACCAGCAACGCGGAAGAGTTCGAGGAGATCGTAGAACTGGCCGTGGATATCACCGCAGATGGTAACTGGCGTAACAACAGGCTGGATGTTCGATTCTGATGACGTGGGGACACAAGTCAGCTGGACAAGTTCCCTTGTCGTGCGCGGGGATGCGAAGGCGCGCGCGCGCGCATGTGTGATGCTGACTAGTAGTTGGTGCTCAAGTACCTTCCATAAGAACTTCCTTGACAATTTCGCAGAGCTGCTTCATGACAGGCTCAGGAAGGTAATGACATTGTTTCGCCTCCTCCAGCCACTCATCTAGACCGGCTCCGGGACGAAGGTTAGCCGGACCCGGCTTTGGAATAGTGGACATGATGGTTGTATATGATCGGACTTGAGCTGTTTGGTGGTGTACGGGCTGTAGTTGTGAAGGGCGGGCGGGCGCAATATCTTATCAATCGAAGGGATGCTTGTGTTAGGCTGCGATGGAACTTGGTTCCGCAATTGTTAATGTCGCTAGATGAATCGCGGGTCGCAAGGAGTCGTGGTCAAAGAGTCCTGGGGCCACCGAGTGCAAGGGGAGGGCACTGCCAAATTGTTGTCGGGTGTGTTGGGTTGTTGTTTGTTGTTGGGATGAAATTCTAAGGATGACGACGAAGCCGAGCGCGGGATCTGGATGGCTGAGGTGAGCTGGAATCAACCTCGACCTCGACCTCGAACTGTGACCGGCAGCCTGCCACCCACTGGTACTGTGTACTGCCCGCGTGGGACCTGTGGCTAACTACGGTTTGCGGACAGTGGGCGAGTGCCCTGGATGGATTGCGCTGCAGGCCAAATCACGCGCGCACATTGGCGCCGAGAGCTGCCCCCCTCAGCCGCTGTGGGTCTGTGCACTCCCTCAAAGTTCTGGATCACCGGAATTGCGGGGCACCTGGAGTGTGGATTTCTTATCGAATCCGATAAGGCTGAGCGGTACCGCCGTACCTTAAAGACCAAGCTCCACCCTTTCCACTTCACTCAGCAATCGCATCCCGTCATTGTTCTTTGGATTTGTTACCCGACAACATCCAACACCGCTTGCGCCAGCCGCGCCCGCTTATCATCATCGACAGCTTGGTGTAAACTGTCGTCTCTCCAGAGAATCTCCCCTCTCGACACGAGCCCCGGCTGGTCTCGACTACAGTACTTGCTACGCCGACAGACATCTCTATCAGCCATCGACTTACGAACCATCATTCCGCCAATACCGCGACCGAAGCATGAGGCTGTGATTTCTACACTAGCTCGAAACTCCGCCCAGAAACTACACATACCCCGACTATTCCAAGCCACGGCAGCTTCAAAATCCAACCATGATGGCGGCGCCCCAGCTGCTTCTGCGCAAACCTAATGGCACCGCTGCCGGCCAGGCCACCAATGATGCCCAGAATGCACCCAAGACCAAGCCTCAGTCCGAGGGCGAAAAGGTGGTTGTCCGTCGACTTCCTCCCCTGCTAACCGAAGAAGAGTTCTTCAAAATCCTCGGCGACGAATGGAAAGTCGGCCATGGGAAGGTTGACTGGTTTTCATACTGGCCTGGCAAGAGCTCCCAGCAGTAAGTACATCACCGCAGGTTCTCCCAAATCCGCTTCTCACACAATCATGTGTCCCAGTCCCTCAAGGCCATCTCGGCCCTCCCGCGCCTATTTTCACGTTATCAGGAAAGATGACCTTTTAGTGCTCTCACAAGCCGTACAGAATGGCGTTTGGGAGGACGCCAAGGAATCCTACAACGACCCAGTCCTGATCCTGCCGCCCACAGCCGAGCTGTCGATTCACAAGAAGATTCCGAGCGACAAGAAACGGTTGGATAACCGCCAAGGCACTATCGACCAGGAGCCCGAGTTCATGGCCTTCCTTGAGAGCCTTGCCAATCCCGATGCCCACAAGACTACAGATACTGCCGGTGAACCGAATGCCGAGGAAACGTCAGCCAAGCCGGAAAAGGTCACCACCACGCCACTCGTCGAATATCTTAAGGAGAAGAAAGCACAGAGAGCCAAGGAGGCGGCACTTGCCAGGAGCGCCAAGCAACATGCTCGACAGGAATCGCAGGGAGGAAAGACCAAGACTGCCACCGCGACTATTACTCTGGAGGAGTTGAAAAAGCGGGCTAGAGAAGCCAAGGGCGAGAAGACGGATAAGGCTTCAGAGAAACCGAGGGACAATGTCAAGATTTTGACAAGAAGGGGCGCATCAAGTGCTGCAGCGGAAGCCGCCAAGGCTGCCAATACGGTTGCCAGCCAGATCCAGGACAACGCCCGGTCCAGCTCAAAGGCTGACTCCCAGACCAAGGCCGCCCAGAGCTCGTCACAATCCGCCACTCAGTCGACTCCTTCAGCCGACGCAACATCAGAGCTACCCAAGAGTCGACGCGCAGGCATCGCCGCAGCAGCACGCATCTTACAACGTGATCTGGGCCTCAGCCCGGGCAACGCTCACAGAAAGGCACGTCAGGAGGCAGCAAAGGCTGAGGCTGACGCAAAGGCCAGCGCTGCTGCTACTGCCAGTGCCAATGCCAGTGCTGCCAAAGAAACTGCATCCAGGGAGAAGAAGGAGAAGGAGACAACTCCTGCGCCGGCTAGCTCTGAACGTTCTTCGACGCCAGCCAATGCTGCCGACTCTTCGGCTGTTGCATCGCCTTCGGCGTCTGCTAGAGGACGAGAGTCAGCCTCCGGAAGAACGCGCGGAAGGAGAGGCCGAGGTGGGACTACAGAGGAAGGATCAAAGTCAAAGGGAACAGACGGCGGCAAGGAGACCAAACCTGCCGAGGTCGCGACACCACAACCGCCGATCAAGCCAACAATGATCCTCAAGAAGAGGGATTCCACACAGGCGACTCCATCTGCACTCTCGACGCCTTCGACGCCTGTAAATGCCCAACCGCCGGCCTTATCAGCCTCGCAAAAACCTAGTTCCCCCAAGCAGCCTTCCACTGGGGGCAGGCAAAGGGGTGGTGGCCGCGGAGGCGAAGCTAAAGAGAACGTCCAGCCCGGCAGCAACGCAGCCAACACCCCATCCACTCCGGCCCCCACAGGTCCAACCCAAGCCTTCATCAAGCACGCTCACCAAACACAGGGCGTCGCCGAGTCAACACTACGCGAGGCTCTGCAAGCCTTCGGTGCCATCAACTCAATCGATCTGCGAAAGAAGGGTTTGGCCTACGTCGACTTTGCGGACCCCGAGGCGCTGAAGAAGGCTATCGCCGCGAGTCCCGTAACGATTGCGCGGGCGAGCGTCACGATTCTAGAGCGCAAATCGGATACCGATAAGAAGGAAGACGGCGGCAAGGATAAGGACAAGGACAAGGAGACTGCTGCTGCCGGACCTGCGGCGGCGAGTGCACTAGCGGAGAAGGAAAAGACGGTGCCAGAGAAGGAAAAGGAAAATGAGAAAGAGAAAGCGCCAGAGAAGGGGAGGGAGCGAGAAAAGCGCGATGATGAAAGAAGAAGGGGAAGAGGCAGGGGCAGAGGACGCGATGGCGGCGGTGGCGGCGATAAAGACAAGGAGAAAGAGAAGGAAAAGGGCGAGAAGGGTGTTGATTCGAGGGGAGGAGCAAAGGGCGATGCCCCTGGTGGTGGTGCAAAGGAAGCCGTTCCGCAGGAGGGAGGTGGTTCCGATCGTCCTGTTAGCACTCCCAAGGCCGAAAGAGGCACCGTTGCTTCTGCTTCGGCCCGACCGACCTCAGCACAGGACAAGGGCGAGAAAGACAAAGAGAATGACAAGGGTGAGAAGGGCGAAGGCGAGAAGAAGGGTGAGAATCGCAGTCGCAGAAGACGCGGCGGGAGAGGAAGAGGTGGTGGTGATAAGGATAAGGAGAAGGATAAAGATGGCGGTGGTGCCAAGAAGGCCGAGGGTGGTGGGTCCGCTCAGGCCGCTCCGGCTTCGTGAGATTGGGAACGCAAATGACGTTCACGAGCACGGCCTTGCGATAAAATATGATGAGGAAGAAGATAAGAATATGACTAGTTGAGAGATGAGCAAAGTCTAATGAATGATGGTATCTTATCAACGTCCTACCGCCTTGACTGGTACTCTGTTATTTTGATGAAGGTTAAGGATCAACTGTGCATACTGGGCGTGAGAAGTGGTTTTACATAGGGTAAGTGCCGCGTAGCTGTAAGGATGAGTTGAACAGAGCACCGAACCGGGAGAAGAACATCCCGAAGGCTTCATCTGCTTCGACACAGAGGACGGGGGGGGCAAGTCGATATAGACATCTATACTTTGCAAGCTAGACATCTATACTTTGCAAGCTAGAAGTGAGCACGTTGATTCCACTTCATCATAATACAAAAAGTATGGTCCAGAGTAGAGCGCTGGCCCTTGTCCTGCAATGCTATATATGCTTACTCCTGACTCCTTCAGAAAGACAAGGGTGAATCCTTTCCCACGTCATGGAATAACCTACAAATGAATGCACCCCTGGGAACTTTACAGGTTCGAAACCCAGTGTCAACTTGTCCACTCGTTTCCACATCCAGTTTACGTCTTTTCCTCGATGACAGGCAGGGGCTTAATATCGACGTTGTCACTACCTCTAAGTATGTCAACTCATTCTAATAATCCTGTTACTGGGGCTGACGATTATGCAATTCAGGGTATTGGCGGCGTCCACAACGGGTTGGTACGAGTCTCTCAAAGTTCGAGTGACCTGAGTGATGGATGCCCGGCAGGGAAAGGAAAAGGAGAGAGAGAGACTGACTACCTAGACTACCTGATTAGGAAATGAGATGGTCCCCGGGCTGGTTGTTGCTTATCTAGAATCGAAAAGGCGGGCAGACATTCTTGACAGGAGAAATTCGAAGACCTGAATATACGTAAATCATCTGCGAGAACCAGAGCTGTTGAAGTCGTTGTCAACTTCTGGTGATGGGTGATGATTTCCTCCTCAGCAGGGCCAGGAGTTTCGTTCGGCTTCTTTTTTGTTACCTTTCGGCTTCCTTCTGATGGCGTTTTTTTTTTTTTTTTGTTGCATTGGCTACGAAACCATAGTATGGTAACTTGGCGATAGCAAAGTTACATCTAATGCCTTTTGGTGTTTTGGATGGTTTAGACTCATGAACCAGGAAAAAAAAAAAAAAAAAAAGTGGGCCACTCGTGTGGTAATTACACTCAGCACTACCGGAAACCCGCGAGAGGATACTTCAGTTGAGATGGAAGAAACCGACAGGGCGGGACGGGCTGCGGGGACATTGGATGGAAGAATGGAAGTCTTCAAATCCGGAAGTCGATGCAGAGGTTTGAAGTTCGGGGAGATCGAGACTGAGTGCATCGTAATAGTCGGCTAACGATTCCGTCTGGCGTTGTCGGCTTTCGTTTGGCGGAGTTTGGTGTACCAGTCGCAGATTTCTTCAAGGTGAAGGGCTTTGGGAAGGAGCGGAAGGAATGTAGCAAGGAGGCGAAGGAGTTTTGGGAGGAAGACTAAGAGAAGGAAGAGGTAGAGGAGATGGATTTCTCGATGCTGCTGCTGTTGTTTGCGATTAACAAAGCTACCTCTAGATGGATGAGGGCATCCGATGTATGGGACCAACAGCACCGATGATCGAAAGTCCAGCGGCATCCGTCAGGTTGTCCACCGTATTGGGTATTGAGAAGTCATCTTCGTGACCACGAATCCAATAAAAGTGCACTTCCACGGGCAGCCGCGAGCGCTTGCCTCCGAAGCATCGGCCCGGCCTAACTCCTGGGACTCCTCGACGATATCCCAAGTAACTAACTGGCCGAGCGACACCTGGGGTTATTGTGTTTCCCTTTAGATTCGTGAGGACTAACTAATAGTTTGAGAAGATTTGCACCTTTACGCGGCATGGCTGTTTTGTTTCTTTCTGGGAATTTCAGAAGGGGTTCTGCTGGCCGAAGCTCGTGGGGAATGCAATGTGTTAGTCAAGCTTGTCTTCTTGTCGGCGGAGGAAGGAATAATGGCCAGCACCTACGTGAATGAACCACCCTAGACCGAATCCCTAGTCTTCACCACTCAGCCAAGTTCCTCTCATATGGAGATGCCTGCGGTTGCGGCCGGGATGGAAGGGATAGGAAGGAATCGCTGAGGTATGTCGAGGCGGTTAGTATAGCCGCGGTTGGGATTGGTCATTTTGCTGCATATTTCCTTCTTGTCTCTGCATCTTCTCTCCTTGCTCTTAGCCTTGAAGTATGTGAGTCTGATGGTGCCGTCCCCGGGTAGTGGGCGAGAAGTAAAATTGATTGATTGATAGGTAAGATAAAGAAAGAATAGACTTTCAGAGGCCGTCTGAATTCAAATACCCAAGCAGCGAAAGATGTTGTTCGCATGCACTTCCATTGCAGCTTGCTACCTGAACCATAAACCATAGGTAGGTAGGTAGGCACACCTTGGCCCGCAACAGGTGGTAGCTAGAGGTACCTACCTGAGCCTCTCATGCCGTTATTCCAGGGCACACTCCCCTGACCAACGAGTTACCACCAAAATCACGACGAGTAGAATTGAGAGACAACTATTTAGGCGGCGGAAGCTCAATGTGAATGCATCATCATGATGTCTTGGGGTGAAGACCGGCGGAGAAATATGGATGGTTGACGCCATACAATGTAAGTTTGTACACTGTTTAGACCTACCTCTAGGACAACCGATGATATATCACCGCCCACCACTTGGTTGTTCATTCAGTTGTTGCTATCGATTTCACCCTCTTTTTACTGCTGGAGTGTAATCTCCAACTCATGAATATCAGTCTCAGCCGCCAGCCAGCTTTGTCCTCTCGGACTTCCCCGGTGAGCCCGACCTTCTGCTCTGGCTGGCCCGATCACAATTGTTGTAAGTGATTGCCTCTTTTACTGACGGAGGTCTTTATCCTTGGTGTTTCTTTTTTTTTTTTTTTTTTTTTTTTTTTTTTTTTTTTTTTTTCCAAAATCAAGGAAAACAGTCCGCTATCTCAGGATCAAAGTCCTCATGCTCAAAACTGAATTTCACTGACCTGGGGGGTTCCTCTTCACTATAGCCGTTATCGAAGATCCATCTAGCAATGAAGGACTGTCAAGGCTGCCGTTAATAGGATTGATACCTCAGTTTGGCGCCGAATGCTCTAAAGGGTACTCCGGTGAGATAAAAGAACTTGTTAACCCATCATCAGGATTAGGAGAGTCCGATGACCAAATTACAGAACTGGAATAGTCCCGAGCAAGAAGTAAAGCGACCCGATAGATGGAATATGACATGACCGACCAAGGCATATGTGGTTGAATTGGATGTTTTGAGGCCGCCTTAGATATGAGGATTCAAATGGAGCTTTCACAAATTGAGGGAGTTCAGGGGATGTGAGGTGTTGTTGTGGAGGTGTGTTTGAAGAGAAGCCCTGAATGCACCTTTCTCAAGACCTACACTTGCCCAACTGTTTGCAAGACACTTGACAATAACGCTGTGCTAACGCGAGGGAATGTCGTGAAAGATTGTAATTGTCAAACATCAACGATACAGACTGGATATGTCTAGAGTCAAGTTTAGGTATCGAAGCGAATTATCGCACTCTGTCCTGCTCGCCGAGCCAATCCACTATCAAAACCATAAAGGGGCAAGAAAGTTATACGCAAACACTTGAAACCATTGGATTGACACCATACTTCCGCCCATCTTTTCCGACACTTTTCTAGACTACCCCATCTATATACCCATTCGTTACAAAACATGAACACATTTCTTTTTTCATCCGCCCATTCCACAAGTACATAACATAACATCCACTCAAGGTACATAAGACATCATTCCATTAATACGTCCGATCCGTCCAATCCGTAATCACAAATGAAACAAGCTTTAAAAAAGCGAGAGAAACAAAAAACAAGGGGGGTATGAATGGGTATACATGATGAAGAATGAAAATGTTCTACATGGTTTTTGGGGACGTAGGGGTATAATGTGCTTTTATCAGAGGAAGAAGAAGAAGAAGAAGAAGAAGAAAGGAAGTGCGAACCAAGAAAAACAAAAGAAAAGAAAGAAGAACGAAAACTGAGCTTCGAAAGCGCGAGCGAGCGAGCGAGGTATCGGATGAAGGTGTGAAGTTGCAACCGGACCCCGGGCTCGGCGCCGATGCCGATGTGGAAAGAAGTGGAGATCCCGAAGTGGGGTCGCCGGCCGGTGGGGTCGGTCAGGTACCGAACCGGGACGTCCTCCATCAATGTGGTTACCGCGGTCACCATGGTGAGGTACATACGATGAGACTGACACACAGTGACCATTGTGACTTTGACACATGGTGTGATTAGGCTTGTGCGTGTCTCGTGTGTTTCGGTGAGTCGGTGGTGGTGGTGGTGGCAGTAGTGCTGGAGACCGAAGGACGTCTCCGGGAAAGTAAGAAAAAGCCCGAGCCGACACCTTCTACACGTGGGAAACGTGAAGAAGAAGAGCTCGGCAGGGGAGAGGGAAAGAGAAGGGGGGAAAAAAAAAAAAGAAGAAGAAGGGTTTCAAGTTCCCGTCTTGGCCTTGACCTCGCTTGTCCACGGTTGGAACCTAAAGTTCCTTGATTCCTTCCTTTGTTCTCTGAGCTTGTTCCTTCCGTGGGCCCACCCGAACCCCGACGGGCCGATTGCCCACTTTACCCCTTGACTAAGACCGAATGGTGGTCTGCCCCTCCGATTCCCGAACGGAACCAAGGACGCAAGTTGACCGATTGGGGATGGCGGGGTTGGATGGCTGACAGGGGGTTCGGGAAATAATGAAAATTTTCTCTTCTGTTTCTGGCTGCGGTCCGAGAAGAGGATGGAAGCGAAGCGCCAGAAGACGACCCCTGCTTGAGTGTGCAGTGCGCGATCGTGGGGCCAGCGTCCTCTCGATTTTGTTTGGAGGGGAGCATGCCGTCAGGCTTGGGTGTGAATGGCGGCAGTGCCTGGATGGGTGCTGCTACCGCTGGCGCGCGGCAGACTGCTTGCTGTCCTGTCAATCAGGCACAGAGGAGAGGGCGGTGCAGCCATGCTGGCAGACCCCTGGGAGGTCCGCTTGCTTCCTTGCTGCCCACGCGTGAACCTTGCTGACCAGCCAATATCGAAAGTCCAACGAAAACGAGGTGCCTTGCAGGAGACGACAGCCCAATCTGTCGCCGGGTGCAGATGCAGATCCGAAGACTGCCAATTGGGGAAGGGGATTCAAATGTGATGTTTGGCATGCAATGGTGAAAACGCAGAAAAGAGGTCTCAGCTGCGGCGAAGTAATCAAAAAGACGAGGTAGAAAGAAAACAAAAGTATCCAATGACGGGTGTTGTTACAATGAGCATGGCTTTTGCTGATGGCCGTGGCGATTGATCAAAAAAACTGATTACCTCCGCGGCATCTTTGCGCTAGCGATGGCCTGTTGATAACGGAAGTCATCATCGGTGGGATACCGGTTGTCAACGTAGCCAGCAGGCGCCTGGACATAGACTGCTGGATGATGTGCCACAGCCCGAGGAACAGCAGAGCTTGGCTCGCGGATGCTCGCGTACTGTGGTGCCGGATACGAGGGCGCATTGTAGGCGTAGTCGTAGGCATCTCTCGCCGACACAAGCTGAGGGCCTGGAACCTGTGGTCTGGGTGCACCGCGACCAGAAGATTCAATGTAGCTATCACGCTGGCTGTTCCGTGGCTGGCCTCTGATGGTGGCCGGCGGGAGAGATGGGAGAGATTGGCTGCTGCTCTTGGCATCGTTGTCGTCACCCCGAGTGCGGAAGCGGCTGCGGAGACGCTCCTTCTCCTCGTCAATGACCGGTCGTTCGTGTGCCAGTGCCAGCTGTCGCTCCCTCTCTAGCTGTCGCTCCCACTCACTGTCCATGTCCAACTTCTCGTGTTCTCTATGTGGAGCACGTCGGCTCGAGCTTCGGCGAGGTCTCCTGTCCTCCGATGAGTCGGATGGCGGTGGCATGGACATGCTCTTGCGCCGGGGTCTCTTCATCTTCTCGGAATCGACGGATTCGCTCGACTCTTTGGGGTCCTTGAGGTCTGTGGGTTTCTTGGCGTCTTCGAGTTCCCGCAGCTTCTTGTGTTCCTCCTTGAGCTGCGTGTTTTCGCTGGTCAGATCCTTGTTCTTTTGCACTAGCTCGGCATTCTTGGACTTTAGCTCGGTGAGTTGATCGGATAGGACCTCGTTCTCATTCTGCTTCGCGTCCAGCTGTGCTTGCAGTGTAGCCTCACTCTGAATGACCTCCTTGTGAGTGATCTTGAGCTGGCTGTGGGATACCTGAAGTCGTTCAAGGTGTTGGATTTTGGCCTGGAGATCTTTGATCTTGTCCTCTGCCTGCGTCAACTCATTCTTGAGGCGCAGAATCTCGCGAGCGTCCCGATGGTCGTCATAATCACGGGGTGTGTAGGTACGATCACTGTTGGGAACACCGCAGTCGCTACCACTTAGAGAACCGACCCCGGAATCGCTCCTCTGGTGATCCGAGTAGTGGGATGCACCCGAAGGGGAGTCGTCCCGGAATCCAACCTTCTTGTGGGACATGGCTGCTGCGGGCGTCGTAGTAGCCTTGAGTACGGATAGGTATGTAGATAGCTGTAGCAAGCTGTAACCGTAGACGGAAGCGTGTGTAATGGTAGGTTGGTGATGGAAGGCTGAAGGGTGTTTAGACCAGAAGCAGCAGAGTGCAAAGATGTGTTTTGTGCTGATTTGACGGCGCAAGAAGGGACGGTGCTGCAGAGGTGCCCGACTGGTTATATTATAAAGAGAGAGTGGGAGAGGAAAGGGTTGCGGGCAAAAGAGACTGAGGCAGGGGGGGGGATGGATGGGAGGCCCGCGCCGAAATTGGGTAACGGACAAGAGACTAGGGCTAGGACAGACTGTGGCCGGACTGATCAGGACTGGTGTGGCAGGGGGTGCAGAGATGCAAGTAGGTAGTGTATGTAGACTCGGTAGCTTGCGCGTACAAGAGGGTACCTCTGCTCAGTGACGTCCACGGGCGGGACGGCGGATGACAAGACTATACCGGGCAAGATTAGGAATGCTGATGCTGCCCTGTTCTGTTTGGTTGGGTTGGGCCTCAATGGCACCGAAAAGCCAGTCTGGATCCCGGAGTTGGGCCAATAAGCGGAGCTGGGAGTCAAGGGTATAAAGCGCCGATGGTATGAGGTCCTGGGACAGGAATGAGGGTAAAAAGAGATGCCTGGTGAGATGGGTGGAAAATGTGTGCGTGTCTCACCGTCGTCAGTCACCCGGGCGACCAGAACGTTTTTATTTTGTTTTCTTCTCGACTACCGTGTCTCGGGGCAAACACTGCCTTTTCGACGCCGCAGTTCACCAAGCAAGCCCAATCGTCAGAAAACACAAGGGAAGGGGGTACGGATTCGCACTACTACGACTACACCTTGGATAACATGGAAGAGGTGGAAGCCAGGGCAAGCAGATGGCACAAGGAAGAAACGGGAAAGGGTGGTGACAGTGGGGAACCATGCCATACGGGGCACAAAAGAAGCCAGGAGGACTATGGCCAGGTATCAACTTGTATCCAGAACTCGATGCTGTACTGTAGTGTAGCTGGAGAGAGCCACCATCCAGGCAGCTCGCGCCGGCTACCGACCACGAGGCTTACCTTGGTGACGAAAAGGGAAACAAGGACGTGTACTACCTAGGTACTGGCTACTTGCATCCCTGTACTTCCATGGGTCGGGGATCCATTGATCGGCGGACCATGTCGGACCCCCCTGGAACAGAACCCAAGCATGGCGACGGGAGGCAGGAAACACCCCATGTGAAGGTCAATTGTGCACCTACCTACATATGGGCAAAAGAGCATAGGAAACACTGGGCATCAAACAGGAGGCGATTCTCACCATGTTCACCTTCAGGGGCAACTGGGCCGTATAATCACCGCAAGGCTCTGACAAGACCAGAGAAGCAAAAGCGGCCATCAGGGTAGGTGTGTAATACACTATAGGTGAGCAGATCCACAGCGGCACAGCCACATCCTGACATGGACGTCCGGCTTCCGGCTTTCACCAAGGCGTCTTTTGGGGAAATAGTCAAAAGTCGGAAGAAGGTTGGTCGTTTGCCATGACTGGTGAGACGGCCAAGCCAGGTCTGACAGAACAACAGCGACCAACAAGTGTCGAGTCGGACATGTCATGCCGGCGACTATCAGGGCTTTTCGTTTGCCTGGCTGCAGTTGCGGAAATTGGATGCTCGTTGGCTTTCTCGCGACCTTGCTCATCTTGTGGGTTTGCGTGTCCTGCGCGAGTCCTGGATTTTGCTTAGCCATTTCCCTAGCCTCGGAGGCTTGGTTTGGCCGTTTCAGTAATCTGGCGAACCAGAAGACTGGCGAGGAAGGGGGTGCATAGAGTGTCTGTGAGGAATGCCATTTGCACACATGGGCGGATGGATTACCTACTAGGTACTGATGGGGGACCGTCCGTTTGCTTATGGTTTGTGTCGCCATTACAGTAATACCTACATACATATGCCCCTTGTGGTTTTCTTGGGGATAGTCCAAACATAGATTGGGTGGATTGCCCAATCCAGCCTTTCCACTGCGCCCTCGATTCCGAGGCACCAGTCAGAAAGTGCATGATGAGGCGAGCGACAAAGGGGAAGCGCGGCTTTGTGGATGTGAAGAAGCTATTCGTCCGAGTCGCGCAAACAGACGTCTGACGGGCGCGGACAAGCAGGGGAAAGGGGGGGATTTTGGTGAGACGTCTCCTGGCTATTTCTGGCCCACGATGCGCGGCTGTGATGTACATAGGAGACGCCGTGACTGACGCATTGCGCACCCGCCTTTATTATGCGTGCTGTGCAGTGCAAGTGCAACTGAAGTAGGTAGGGCGGCCAGACCAAAAAGAGTCGAGGGATTCCAAAAAGGACCCTTCCCCTTGCCCAAAACACGAAAATGTCTCGGCCGGGGGATATCAAACCTTTTCTTTTTCTTGCTCAATTTTTATTTTGGCTACATATTCGATTATTTGACCGTATGCGTCCAGATCAAATTTCACATGCGTTGCCACCTATTGGAGCCACTGTTGCTGTTGGTGTTGTTACTGCCGTCGTCCCTTGTCTTGTTTGTGAAGCGTCGCACGCGATTATCGCGAGATTGTTGCGGTTAGTCTTGTTGACTATTTCTCCCCCAGAGATGTCTAATGGGCAGTCGTCGAGGCTTTCAATCCGCGCTCGTGAGCCATCTTGGTCGCTCGACTTTTGTTGGCGATTTGTGAATGAGAGAAGTTCTGGTGTGACGCTCAAGATGTTGGATGGCGCTGTGAGTGTGAGAAGAAAACTAAAGAATTCCAGGGTTCGTGCTAGTTGCCCGAGGTGTGGGTGACAACGGGCAGGAAATGTAGAAATGGCTGACTTCCATCTTCAACGGAAGTTGATGGACGCCCCCTCCTTTTTTGCTCAGGCAGTGGAAGGTCCCGTCCGCTACAGTACCCCCGCCTCCTCCGCCGCCAAGTCCACTCCGAATGACCCCGCGGGCCCACACTGTGAACCCGCGATGATCAGGAGCTCCACTGCACCCTCCTTAGGTCCCGTCTCCGTCTTCCCTTCCTTCACAACATTTCAGGAAAAAGATGGGAGAAAAAGAAGAAGCCACCGTCGCGTGTGTCTTTTGTGCAACTAAATCTCGCGACCTGACCGCTTTCAGCCAGCCCATCCTCGCTTAACACATGATTTCATTCATCACGGCCCGTGTTACCACACGTAAATGGGATGCTTTTCTCTGATGGCGGCTGGTTTTCGTGAGATTTTCCTTCGACGCGGATCCAAATGTCGCGACGGTCATTCGGGGGAGGGGGCTTACAAATTTTCTTTTCTTTCCTCTCATCTCTCAAAAGGTGAGGTCGCATCAGCTAATCTAGCGCGGGTCAGTCTAGGGCATCCGAATCCGACCTGTCGCTACTTGGATCCATCAGATTGGCAGAAAGGCGCGCGTCAAAAGGCCACCTGCTACGGCTGCTACTGCATCAGATATGAAAAGGGCTGTCACGGGGTTCTGCAAGTCGATGGCTGTTCCCGTCTTCAAGGTTGCCATGCGACGCACTCCCACTGTCTACCAATCTGGGGAGAGGGATGCAAGTCATAAGCTCCCGTGTTCGTTTCTCTCGGTCTCCAGTCCGCCAGTCTCCATCCGGCTAACGTCGTTGAGCTGTCGAGGTGAGCGAGGGTGCCTGGCTCTCCCCGCAGCCCTACGAAGAAGCGAATGGAGAATGGTTTGGTGGAGTTGCCGACGGGAGCCAAGAAAGACGGAGTCCACACCCGGACCGCAAGTCCTCGACTCCATCGACGGCGACGTGCTCCACCCGGGGAACAAGAAGCCCCGACGCAGGCGACAGTATATGTATCTAGTGTATGTAGAGGTAGTGTCCACTCGGGGGTTCTATCGTCCGCCCTCGTCATTCCTCCTCCCCTCCAGTTTCCATGGCCGCCGTCGACCGCACCATTGCAAGCGGGGAGTGGGATGCTACCGACACCACGACCTATGTACACACAATTATCATCACAGAAAAGGGGGGTGCAAAGAATTGCGTCGAGGGCGACCAGGGAAAACGCCCGGGAGAGCGCCGAGGAACAGCCGTCATCTCTCTAGTCTGCCCAGAGATATACTAACCATGCAGTATATACTGCTCCATGTTTGTCAGTCCTTCATCTATTTCTCCGTCTACTCCCGTCTATCCGCCACTTGCGTCCATATTATTCAATCTATTCGATGCATTCGCGCATTTGCGTCTTTGGCTTGCATCTCGCTCTTTAAGTCTGCAATATGCTATCTCCAACTCACCTCGTGGTCTTTGTGACTTGACACCTTTTCAAAATCTCTTCCTGTCATACAAATAAAGAGGATGTGGAAAGGTGTGCAAATTAGGGCATCTGACTGGCCCATCATTTCCACCGGCCACTACAACCTGAGGCCACATTGCCGGCTGTAGAGATACATGATGGGAACATGACCTTCAGCAAAACAGCCATTTTCAAGATAGTGGAAAGACTGAGACAGATGGAGGGGAGGGTCTACCACGGCCGACATCGCACACCCCCATTTTGGCAACTTTCGATCAAATGTGACCATTTGATAGGCCCGGTCGAGATCCAACCCTCGCTTAAGTGGGTGTAATGGGCGTCCCCGGAAGCCAAGATCAGAGAAGGGGGGGAGGTGGAAAAAGTGTGTGAAAATCCAGGCTAAATTGCTCATTCGGACATCCTATGCTGATAAGAAAGACAGTAGGCGAAATATCGGCCACCCAAGGTCCGGAGGTTGTCACCATCCTAGTTCTCCCGCTTTGTTGAGGTCGGCAAGTTCACTCTATCCCCAACGAATTTTCCCTTAATCATTCTATACCTGCGCAAAGAATGCGCAGTTCAAAAAGCGCGACTCCATCTTCTCATCACCTGCCTTTTTTTTTTCTTGTCTTTTTTTTTCTAGTTCATATCCGTTGGCGGCCACGATGTCGACCAGGTCGCGGAGATACATCACGCCGCCAGCCGGCCGTTTAGATTCGATCCGACACGCCAAAAGCAAGCAACTACCCTGACCACCTTCAGATCACGATGCCTTTCGCTTCTCACTTCCCTTCTTCGCGTACAACATACATACCTAGCTGTGTGCGGCCGACTGATTTGATCATGCAAAACTCCGCCGAGACAAGCAGAGCTTCCGTTAGCCACAGTATCGGATCGAGAATACCTCAGATGTTTGCACATTCACCCGGGTGGGGTTCATGTCAGAAGAAGGCGGCAGTTCGCCAAGCCATCTCTGCCTAGCGCCAACAGGGGGGTATCCGACCACTTCCAAGAATCGACCATAGTGATCCTTCGCCCTTCATTGTGATGATAAGAGTACTTGATGGTTCTGTCTGTGGCTATCTCACACTGAAATCAAAGCTTTCCACCGTTCACTGTGTTGTTTTTCAAGCAGAGAAGTAACAGAAAGCCGGGAAGAATGCCGACGGAAAACACAGCCTCGTCCTGTGTCGTCCATGTATGTATACACTTAATCCACCCTCGGCTTCTTGCTTCGTTTCAATCCCTTGTTACCTAAACGTCGATGCATATCTCCGCGGATCTCATCTACACTGCAGTGAACCAAAGTGAAAAAAGACAAAAAAAAAAAAAAAAAAAGAAAGCCCATTGTCTGCCTAAGATGCCGAGGCTCTTCCATGTTCCACTTCTAGCAAACTACTACCATGTTGGTATCCGCTTCTGGAACTGTATATCGCAGGCAGAAAGCATAAGACCTCAAATCGGATTTGTGATATGGTATGCATACCTACCTAGTGTAAATGTGGACAATGTGTTTCCCCTCACCTAAGTACGTGAATCGCCCCAGTGGAAGCCTACCTAGGTATGCAAGTCATAGGCACAGCCATGTAGCCACTCGTAGTGTAGTAAAGATAGGTAACTAGAGGTACTAAGCCGTTTGAAATGCCCACGTTCTAGACTTTGTCGCCACTTCCCAGGCAGGAAATATGCAGGGTTTCATGTACAAAATCACTAGTGTGTAGTTGTAGTTGAAGATCAGTTCTGTTTTACAGGCCAGCAGTGTTCACGATTGTATCTACAAACCCCACGAGCAAAACGTGGAGGATCTCGAACTACACTAGAGTTAGGTAACTCGGTGCCACGGGTGTTTGCCAGGCCATGAGGCGAAGACAAAGTGAATATTTCATCCAACCTGCAAGTGAATAACTACGTACTGTAGATATAAGTAAGTGTAGGTAGGTAGTAAGAGTTCGGAGGAGCTTCGGGAGAACTTTCTCCTCACTCCGTCCTTCTCACCTTCCTCCCATCGTTCCCCTCACCTCATGCCCCGCACCAGGCGGGCACAAAGTACCCTCTACATCTTCACATTCTACACATCTAACTGAACAGCGAACGCAACCCAACCCAATCAAACCCGGACTCTTCCTCCAGCCATTACTATCCCCACATCAATTGTCTCCTGCCCTGCAGATACGTTGTACTTAACCACTGCAAGCTCCGTCTCTCACTGAGTGCAGTGCCATCTGAAAAGCGACAGGTCTCGTGCATTGTGCATTTCTCCTGCGTCTAGTCCCATTCTCAATCGCAATCTACACTGCAATGCGTAGTACTGCGTGTGTACGTACCTATTGCGTGTTGCGTATGCATTTGGTTGCATTCGTCTCTTTCGCCAATGTGATTTTTTTTTGACATTTTTTTTTCTTTTTTTTGTTTTTTTCTTTTTAATAAATACAGCCTTTTGTAGGTATGTAACGTGTGTACGTACGTAACTTCGGTGCAGGATGATGCGGTGAATGTAGATGGGGTAAATGTGAGTACCTAGGTAGGCAAGGTAGGGTGAAGTTTCACGGATATCATACCTACATTACACAGCAGTACAGCCCGAGATGGCGCTCAACTGAAGGGTCTCAACTCTCAAAGAAAAGGTCAACAACATATCATCAGAAAGGTAGCTAGCTATCTCTCGGTGACATACTACCCAGGTAACTACAATAACAGCCTCGTTAAGTTCTAGGTGTAGGTAGGTTGCCCCTCGTTTCGCATCGCATCGCATCGCATATCTATAACCAAGGCTCCCATCCCGTCACAAGTGAAAGAAAGGTTGGCGGGGCCTCCCGCATTACGAACTACTGTACATACAACTTACCGCTACCTAGCATGTCTCCTCGGCACAGAACTATCTTATGTTTGTCACATGTTTCTTCCCGTCCAAACCATCCACTCCGGACTAAGCCAAAAAAACAAAAAAAATATTCAATCTCGACTAACTAAACGGATGTGATTGGACAGGCCTCACTTACGACATACGTCGGTACACTAAAAGGGACTTTACCATGACTTCCGACTTCATCAGTACCAATAGGACGTTGGCCATCAGTCTTTTCAAGCGAGATGCTTCCGTTGGGTAGGTAGGTAGGATGAGGTGAGGTGAGGTGAGGTGTAAAGATGGACCTATCCACTAACGCTGAGCTGAGCGGGGGCTTCTCTTGAGGTCTACATGCTTCTGTTTCTTTTCCCCTGCTTGCAGCAATATGTAAGTCGTTGTCAAGAAATGTGCGTGATGAGGACTTGCTTTTCAAGTGAGTTCGTGGTAGTTTATTGGTGAGGAGGTAGTGGTTGGTGGTGGTGGTGGTGGTGGTGCTGGTCTTCTGCGGCGTTCTTCAAGTTTGTATTTTCTTTCCAGACAGTCTGGTACTTCAGATGCGAACTGAACTGGTAGAGATTCTACTACTTAATAGAATATCCAGTTCCTGACATGAAAGACATGCATGGGAAGATTCAAAAGTCTCAAAAATACATAAAGGAAACACTCGAGGAGTGTACACCTCAGTTCATTTTCGTACTGGTACGATTGGG